ATGCCTTAGTGGCTGAGGTAGATGTCTTTCTGCTTCTATTATGTTATGTGCTCTTGATTCTGCCCTCTTTCCCATATCTCAACCCCCTTCATCAAATGGGACAGTTTATACAAAAAATAAGAAGTCCCAAAAGCTACTTAGGTAAAAAGAAATAGGGAAGTCAATTGAATTAGAAGACTTCAATTTACATTCAGCTGCATAACAGAGCAATAAAGAGGCGTGTTGTGTAAGATTTCTTCCTTGTACATTTGGCTTGGTGGAGCTTGTCGCATCAAGTGTTCTAATATCGTGAAATCCTCAGGTACCACCAACTGAAGGAATGGCTCTCCTGCACGTTCATGGGGATAGGTGTATGCTGCATGAAGCTCGGAATGTTCATACGGGAGTCAAATATGTGTTACGATCAGATGTAGTATTTGCTTGACTATTGTTTGGCAGCATCCAGTATACTGGGAAAGGTTCTGTGGTTTGACTTTATGTGCTTATCATTATAAGCCTCTTCTCGGTTATAATCAACAATGCTTTCCTTTTTTGTATCTTCAAAGATGGATATCTTGTACTCTAAATCAGTTGAATGAATTGTTTATAATTGAAAACATATAGACATCAGAGTGTTATGTTAACTGAATTCTTGATAAAATACTGGTAACTTTTTCCCCCTCTGGATTCATACGATGTTTCTACAGTGTGGGAATGCTTAGAGATTTTGGGTGCTTGAGATTCAATTGTAATTTGATCTAAAAATTCTCCTTTTAGTTTTACTTTTATGGGTAGGCGGAAGTCATTATTGAGCTTGAGCTTGGGAAGAAGATTGGCAACGTACATTTCATGTCTGACCTTTTTAAAACTAAGTACTTTACCCATTTCTTTGTTTTCTTAATGATCGTAAATCAGTTTTCCTATCACCTCCCGGTTGAAGCTTCAGATAAACTCTGAGAATGATCGTACATTTAATGTCTGACCTTTTTAAAACTAAGTACTTTACCCATTTCTTTGTTTTCTTAATGATCGTAAATCAGTTTTCCTATCACTTCCCGGTTGAAGCTTCAGATAAACTCTGAGAATTGTGAATATCAGCAATTAGTGCTGCGGTATGGTATGGCAGCAGAGTAGCTTTAGATCCTAAGGCTTTATGCAGTTAATTGGTAACTGTGTAATCTTTGCGATTTGATTTGTATGGACTTGGTGAGTGAATGATAAATTTTGGTTCCTTAATTGATCATCAAAGTTCAGTTGCCACATAACATAAAGCAGACGATGCACTTCAGTCTGCATCAGCTTCCTTTCCTTTGGTCAAGGAGTAGACACAACCCGATAGAATTTGCTCAATTGCTTCTCTTATATTGCTCAGGTGAGTCAAACGAAAGAGGTCATATTTCTGCCTTGAAGATCTCTTGTTTTGATCTGAATCCGTTGTCTCTGTTGTTACTTAACCAGTCATACAAAAACTTTCCGTTCAGTATCTTGACGTCTTTCAGGTACTTTGACATAGCTTGGGCACCAGTAAAATTTCGTACCTTTAGTTGACTGCTACTGTAACAAATCGTTGTTCGATATAGGGGATTTCTCAAAGAAAGATGTGGAGACGGCACAAACTATATTGTTTTTCTTGGGCACCAATAAAATTTCCGTTGCTCGATATAGTTTTTTCAAAGAAAGATGTGGAGAAGGCACAAACTATATATATTTTGTTGGTCGTTTTTGGTATGCACCATGGTTGAATTTGTTCTCCTTTTCATTTCTTGGTCGTTCTAAATGCTCTTGTTGAATACTTTCTCTTAATTTGTGTATCCATCTTCAATTTCTATATTATCATCGAAATATTGGCTTGTATCAAAGTTGAATAAGAGTCCATTCTAACAAAAGAAACCATGAAATTGGTGCACTCAATTAACAAAAGGGAATGGTGCTGAAAACACGTACTGGAAAATGAACTGATTTCACTCCCTCGCACTTAAGAGCAAGCCCCGGTCCTCGCCGCGCCCCCCCCCCCCCCCCCCCCCCCCCCAAACCTCCAAAATCCAGCACGTACAGGAATTCATCGGTCGGCAGAAAACTTTTTATTGTCTCTCAAACATTGAAAGTGTCTCACGCTCGAAACAAACACGCAGACAACAAAGACACAGCAGAGTCAGTTCACAACTCTGCATTTTGTTCTCACTTCTCCATGTTCATTAACACCAACATTACCCAGTCTCACCATTGAAGATGCAAATTCCGAAAAGAACAGTGCTTGATCTCTGGCGAATGATTCAACAATCCATTTAGTCCTGTGATCACCGTACAAGGCCTGGTCTGATGCAAACACGCCTTTTCCTGCAATAACTCGCTTGTAGTATTCATTATCAAAAGTAGATGCGGTTGAGTCCAGGAACTGTCCTGCATTGCTGTCTGTATGGTGTTTTGGGCATTTCTTCTTCAGGTTTTCTGCGAACTCTGTGTTCAAGGTAGGATCAACCTCGTGCAACGAACTAAAATTTCGAAGCCTGGCTTCAAAGGAAGAGCAATGTGAAAATCCTAGGGTGTGTCCACCGGAAAGAGCAACCAAATCTTTAACGCCTAAACCCCTCTTTGCAAAACTCTGAATAAGTTGCGTTGAATTGGAGGATGGTGCTGGCAAGTCAATTGTTTCATTAGCTATGGAGACTCTTCCGTCTTTTCTTCCTTTGAGTACATTCCAGTGTGGACCTCCAGACTGAAAAAAGAAAAAAAAAAAAGGGATAGCAATGAAGTTACTTAGAATACAATTATTGATTCATGGAAAGTGGCATTAATGAGTGACTTTTTTGTTCTGGGCCGCAAATAAGAAATTACCATTGCTACCACATCTCTTGCCGCGACAGCAATTATATCAGCACAAGAAACTGTATGCGGACAAGCAGATTCAAGATTAGTTTTGGCATCATCAATCACATAGAATGATCGAACTGAGATGTTTGGAGGGCCGTCTTTTTCTGCTTTGTTTCCCGGAGTTGAGCCGAGCAAAATTGACGCATCACACCCCTGTCATTTTAAGACAAAAATCTTTGAGAGTTCCAAATGTATATTCTGCATGTTTTGTTTGATGTACCATGCACATTAGCAAGTTTTGGTGTGTGTGTGTGTTTCGAAGAGATGGAGAGAGGGAGGATACCCTTATGAAACAATCATGGAAGAACATTCTGAGGATGCGAGCAGGGACTTTACGATCATATAATGAAGCATTACGAAGAGTTTGAAAGATGATACTTTCAGCCTGAGGACATGTTTTGTCATAGTAGTGGGCATCAAGAACTGCCTTTGTCAACGGAATTGCGATTAAAAGAACGACGACAATATGCTGAACCAGAGGAGCCATATATATATATATATATATATATATATATATGTATGTATGTATGTGTTGACCAAGAGCCGGATTAGATATGAGATGGGAGATGATCGCTAGTCGACAATGTGAAGATGAAATGGCATAGAAGCATGCATGCAGGTATATAAACTGTTCTGATGGCGGGCCGAAAGAATCAACAAATGCTGGTAGAGTAGGGTAGGCTAGTCGCATGTTTTCCATTTGCTGCATTATGCAAATGCCTGCAGAATACTTCGAAGCTACTCCAGATTTATGACAAAGTACAAACAAACAATTGCCAAAAACAAAAATAAGGAAGCTGCTTTAGGACAAAGCATTCACAGATAGGTACTTTAACTCTTTTGACACTAGGATTTTTCATAGGATTTTTAGCGCACACAGATTATAAAATTAAAACTTAAATAAGATTTTTATTTTTTGGCTGGAATCAAAGATTGAAGCATAATTCGTGGTTGATATATCTTCTAGAGTTTGTTGGGGCCGGCCGGCCGTTAGATTATTTCTATCAGTTGGGCATAAATTACAACGTACACGCTAAGGTGAACAGATCGCAAGAGCTGGAGGACACATTTCTTCTGTACTTTTTCTTTCAGTACTTCATCATCGTTTCTCAATATAGTACAAAGGTCTTCATATAGGTAATTAACCCCATGTACTTGAGAGGATTTTGATAGTGTTGTGGCCTCATTTGCGTCATTTTATATATGTTTAAAAATGCTGTGGCCTTTTCAGGATAGTCTTTGGACCTGGCGACATTAATTACCATGACCTTCAAATTCTTTCAGTGAAAACTTCTCTAATGTATTTTTAGGTGAATGAGAATAGTGGCATAGGGCAGGCCACATTTACTAATTTTAACCTCTATTTTTCACTAAACTAACCAACCTTAATGTGTGTTGCATGCGGTGTGATGAGATATACACATGCACCTTTAACTTAGTTCTTGTGCCAAGCTTAATGAGTTGCCAATTCGAACATCAGAACAGGAGCCTGAAAAAAAATTAAAAAAGAAAAGAAAAGAGAGATGTATGAGGTGAGACTTGAGAAGCTGGGAAATTATTAACTCTCAAAATATAGTTTCAAATTCAACAAAGGTATGTCAGACCAAAAATCAATTTGCGAGCTCAAGGCACAAGTCAACCAGTTAATGTGCAAATTTACAGTTGTCTTGAAAATTCCTTTCTAATTAGATTCCTCCTCTAGCCTTGTCCATGAATTCTTTGTTGGTGGAGACTTGAGATGTAGGAAAATGCAGTTGAAAGGACCTCCTTTACATGTCGCATTGCGCTTTAAGTTTACTAAATGTACGAAATTGTCAACCCAATATATTTTCTTGTAAGTTTGCCATGATCGTTGATAATCTTTATGTAATTGACAAATAGATTCTAGGCTGTCTCATTTTCAGAATTGCTCAAGCACTGATGTGGAAGTGGACCAGAAACGGACCGCCATAAAAACCAAACAGGAAAAATACTCGGTAACGAAAAAAGAAAAATGGGAGGAACAACGAATTAAGCAAAAGCTTGATCACCAGGGCTTCCTAAGTTTTCTTTCCCCCTAAATCATCATGTTATTAAATGGCGATTCTTATCCTACGTATGCAAATCCCAGACACTGTGAGATTATATTAAATTTATACAAATTATGCGGATGAAAAAACAGCCTGTCATCAGATTAACAGAGCAGCAGCAAATCATTAAGTTCTCAATTCCGGACATATCCCCACCGCTAACATGATCAGTTATATTATATAGGAGTATAAAAGAAAACAAAAGCAGTAAATGGATAATCCGGTCTTGTCTGTCAATCTTCTACCGCTTCATTGCATTGGGAATCTCTCTCATTCAGAATCCTTTGTCCCATGTACCTGCATCACAAGAGAGATAGATACCCGTATTCGTTAGCAGAAGATTGGCTAGGCAAATGCTGGAATGATACTAATAAGAAGAAGAAACTAAACATGCTGGCCAATTTCTGGTTTACCTGCCCAGCATCATGACAGTGGCTTGTGGACTCCCTTTTCTTTTCGTTATACAGTGCATGAAGCAGAATATGAGTATAATCAAATCAATTACCAGATGATACATTAATCTAATGCATACATGTACTGTCATACAAGAAAGAAGACCAAGATTTTTTTTTAAAAAAATAAAAATAAAAAGTGGAGGAAGCAAAAAATGGTTGTTCTACCTAATACGTATAAAAACCATTAAATTTTTTTTTTTTTAAAAAAAATGTAGACTTGGGTCTGCCTGCAAGTTTTTGATCTGCAGTATAAAGAAAACGAATAGAATAATACTACGAAATAAGAGAGAAAAAAGGTAAACAAAATAGAGCAGGGGAAGTAAGATGAAATGGGTGTAATTGCTCAATCTAAAAGTAGCCCATATGAGTGGAGTGGAGAAATTACATATCTCGGCCCAAACCAAACTAATTATTATGTGGCAGGTTTAGAGCTTGGTCTTTGATCAATTTAATAGCGTTAATTCGACAAATAAGTGTCTTTTTACAATCTGATTTGGATATATGGCGGTATCTGATGTGAGATTAATGGATTCCATAATCTTTTATGAAACACTTTTATTGGTCAAAAACGAAGTACTAAACTCCAACAGTCTGGACTCCAGAAAAAGCAGCCCAAAATAAAACAAGAAACAAAATTGTCAATGATCCAAGCCTGACGACTGCATGTGAGTGGCCACAGACAAAAGCAGCCCAGACGATGGGCTTCGATCCAAAGTTGATGGGTCAAATCCAGCTCCCATAAAAGAAGGAAGGTCGAAGACAAGTCAGTCGATGTTATGGGCTGCACTCCTGGTAGATATAGGTCCAGTGGGTTTTACAGTCGTGTAAATTGGCAGGAGAACATTAACGTCAGTAACCTTGCGAGATTAGGTATTGGAATCCCACTCAGATTTCCCATCTACCTCAAATTTTCCACAGAAATCCGATTCAATTCGATTTCAATCCTGTCGAACCCATTCAGGCTTCAACCGAACCAACCCTCCCAAGTTTATGAGATCCAATCACCCACCCCTTTTTGGGAAAGTTCATCTGTATTATTACCACTAGTTGAAAATTCATCAATAGATGTCGAGGGAAGCAATCACCAGAGCAAAAACAGGAGCAGCAGCCATGGAGGATTCTTTCTTCTGCGATTTCCGATTCCATTCCAAGATTGACGCTTTCGATATTGCTAGCGAAGCATTTACTGAGCACTAGTCAGCCGTCAACCCCCACCAGCTCTCCTCCTTGTTATCTGGTAAGTACCACAACCCAAATCATCCAAAACCCTAGTCATCCATCATCAACCCTAATTGCAGAAGTTCTTCTCTTGTTTCTTGAACTAATAACATCTTCCTCCTCCCAGCTTTTCTTTTCTTTTTTTTTTTTTAAACCACAAGAATGAGTCCGAGTATGTGCAAATCCGAAAAACAAGAGAACAAGGGTGGTGTTTTAGAGATTTCGCCGGACGGCCGTTTTATTAAGTACGATGAAGTTCTTGGTAGAGGAGCATTCAAGACGGTATTCAAGGGTTTTGATCAAGAAAACGGGACGGAGGTAGCTTGGTACCAAATTAACCTGGAAGCCGGCAGGGCAGCAGCCTCCTTGGATGATTTACCCAAACTTGCCAAAAGTTTGTTGTCTGAGGCTGCTTTGATGAAATCACTCAAGCATAACAACATAATCAGATGCCAACACTCGTGGATTGACGAAGATAACACGAATGTAAACATGATTACTGAGTTGTTTAGTTCGGGAACTTTGAGGGAGTTTAGGAAGAATCACAAGTCCGTCAATATCAAGGCCATCAAGAACTGGGCTAAGCAGATTTTGGAGGGGCTGAACTATTTGCATACCCGTAATCCACCCATTGCTCATAGAGATTTGAAGTGCGATAATATCTTTGTCAATGCGAATCAGGGGGAGGTCAAGATTGGTGATCTAGGATTGGCCACAGTGTTGAAGAATTCAGGTGTCGCAACAAGTGTTGTTGGGACACCTGAATTCATGGCTCCTGAAGTGTATGACGAGAAGTATAATGAACTTGTCGACATATATGCCTTTGGGATGTGCATGCTGGAGTTGATCATTTGTGATTACCCTTACAGTGAATGCACAAATGTCGCTCAGATTTACAAGAAGGTCACGAAAGGGGTGAAGCCACTTGCCTTGGGAAATGTCAAGGATCCTCAGGTTAAAGGATTTATTGAAAAGTGTTTACTTCCTGCAGCTCAGAGACCCAGTGCTGCAGCTCTTGAAAGATCCATTCTTATCATCACCAGAGAGCTTAAAAGGGGATAAATGCGAATCGGGGCTTCGCCCGTCCGCTGTTCTGCCTGAATCCAACAATATTCCGCAGCCTGATTCCCAAGTCTCCACGAGTAATGATGGATCTAGTTATAATAAGGCTTCGACTCAAGTAAGGCATCTGCAGCAGGCATCATCACGTCAGGTCCTATCTCTATATTAGAATCTTTGAGGTCCACACAACAGATACAGCTACGATTGAGAGGGAAGAGAATCGATCAGAAAACAATTTTGTTTAACTTGCGAGTTGCAGACTTGCATCGTCCTGTGGCAAACTGTTTTGAGTTTCTCTTTGATCTTAAATCTGATGATGCGCTTAAGATCGCTTCAGAGATGGTTCAAGGGAAGACTTAACGTATGGAGATGTGCCAGTCGCAGTTGAGTTGATGGACAGCATGCTTTTGGAGCTTGAACCAACCTGGAAACCTTGCAATGCATATTACAGTGCAAATAATGTTGCATCTGAATGCAGGGAATTGGGTTCAAATTGGCAACTTGGCGCTGTGGTTCATTAGGGATTCAATCAGTTGTAAATGAGAATTCAATCAATTGTAAATGGATAGACTCTTTCCAGGACAACAGTTTTTTGGTACACCTTTGTTATTGCATATTATCAATAAAAGTGGATTCTTTTTTCGTTACGTTCTATTATATCTGAAACTTTTTTGAGCAAATGCATGCACACACTTTTCATGTGTTGCTGTTTGATTTAATTTCACGCCTGGACAGCTTCTTCCTTGATGGCATTTAAGACATTAGAATTTTTTTTCCCTCTGGAATCATTCCACGAGATCCTACAGGTTTTTAGTAGGAGTCTATGCTTAATACATCCTTTATCTGAGAAATACTACTCTGTTCCATGTAGTTTTCCGAGAGAAATTTTCAGTTGGTGTCCTTCTTAGTTATATATCGGGTTTACACACAGTTTTTCACTGTTCAAACTGCATAATGGATGATAACCATATCAATTCTGCTTTCTGTCAGCTCCTACCAATTGTTTTTGAGTGTTAGAAAATCCACTCAATGTGGCTCATTCTATTCAGCTGGTCCAGATCATTCTATACAGCTCCTACAGTTAATTGCCTCCAATAAAATCTGCATCAAGAAGTAGCTCCTACAGAGGGAATGCGAAGTAGTACATGCTAATCTGCTACTCTTCCCTACTGTAACAACACATTCTCGTGGATTCAAATCCCTCTACCTCCTCTACTTCTTTAAGTTCAAGCCCCGCCCCTCCTCTGCTGGAAAAAGATTTAAAAAAAAATAAAATTAAATAACACATTCTCCTACTTTCATTAAGTGTAAGCTGATCCCCACTCATGATGGTAGGACATGCTAGCGGATGATAGTCTAGCAAAATGCACGCGACGTAGGCTAGTCGAGGTCTGCTTCCTCAGCCTCCTAGAGTGAGAGAAGAATGCCAGATCACAACAATTGGACCACCACGAATAGCTGATCAAACTTGCTTATTGGCAAAAAAGTGAGTTCTTGGTTGCTTGAGGTGATATTTTGTTAAGTTGATGCTCGAATTAATTGACATATTAACATTCTTAAATGTATCGATTGGATATAGAAGTTAGTTAACTGGCACTGGAAGAGGATCTAGTAGCTTCTCTTACAGAAGTCAGTTTAACTGAACTGGAAGAGGTCTGTTTGCCAAAGAGAAGGGACGAAACGAAATTTGCATTCTCAAAGGAGGTATCCCGATAAAGGGAACTAGATGCATGTGGATGCGAGTCTTTTCATGCTAATCCCACGGCTAACTAAAGCATTTGTGCCCTGTGACGAAAATATGAAAGTCTGCAAGAGATAATAATGGTGGTAAATAAGTACGGACGCACTTGCTGATTCAACATGCAACGTGCCACCAAGCAGACGTTCAATTGCAAAGGCTCTCCTTTTCTTCCAGCCATCATCCGTTAGTGGGAGAGCTACACATTTTTGTACTTCTGATTTTGTGCAATAAAACAGAGGAAATGTGATACATAACCCTATATGAGAAAAAAGATGGCAGTATAGTCAATCATCATTCCGCCAAGATTATTGATGTTCGGCAGAGAGGCAAGGCAACGAGACGTTATTGATGATTTCTTTCGGCTATATTTTGATGATTTCTTGGCTATTTATTTATTTGATATGACATTAATTTAATACCTCTGGTTATTGTTCTACATCATCCCGCTCGCTAGGACCTCAAATTTGAGAGTTACTAATATAATTACTCTGAAGACTTTTTCTCAATTTATTGCGTGCAGCGTGTAGATTTCAAGTGGGCACGGCGCATCTAAATTCTAAAGTGGGGTTTCCCAGACGGATGTGGAACTGGATGGATAGATGGTGGGTGCACTAAATTGTATCAGTGGGCACAGCCGCCGCAGCCGAAGCTTCCAAAGGTCACCCAACAAAGCAAAGCCAAGCCCATTTATGATTTAACACGCACTTGAAGTCAGCGCTTTTGTTAGGAAACTCATCATCATTTTCGCTTTTCCCTTTTTTTTTTATCTTTAAAAAAAAGGGGAAAAAGATTGAAATACCTAATTATCAAAATCGTGGCATATGTGACACCACTTTGTGCTGTGTACAGTTAACCTCCAGGGGTACGTGTGGCAGGTTTGAGGGGGCAATGGGGTTTCCCCAGTTCCATTTACTAAATGAAAATGTAAATTTTGTATCAAATTGATGCCTAGCTCATGACTATACTGAAGTTGTACCACTATACGTTAAAATTAGGTAAAATTTACGTAAGTAGATGGAGCTGGACACAGAAGTCAGAGGCCCCCGATCCGGTTTGAGGAACCTATAGCTGCTGCTGTTTTTAATTGTTCCCATGTACAGCTTCCGCCTCAGACGCATGGACCGGGAACCGGGCGAAGGCTACTTTTGTTTCCTACTAGTAGCTTATTGAGAGGGTGAGGCCGTGCTTTACCAAAACTACAAGAGCCAGAGCAGGAGGGTAGGGAAAACCATCACCAGCAGCAGCAGTAAATAATTATAGTAAACTCGAACGGACAAGTATAGAGCTTGTGATACCTGTACCGAAAATCCTCGCGTGATATCAAGGCTCTAGTCCTTCAGAAAGTAATAGGTTCCCTTGATCAAAGTACACAGAGGTCACAATTGGTTAAGAAAAATTAACCTATCGAGAGCATTTCAAAGCTGGTGAAAAGCTTCGGAAGAGAAGATATACCGATTGATTCACTCCGTAAATATACTGCTTGTATCAATTAAGTCTTAACATATCTCGAAGACGATGGTTAAATACTAGTAGTACTTAAAATGGTGATGAAGGAAAAGGGGAGTAATTAGGACCAAACATTTCTGCACCAGTAAAAGCCGTATGGGGAATCATCACCTACAATTCTGTTTCTGCTGTACAATACGTGGAGAAACGTTTCGTCTTCTCCTTTTACATACCAACTACAGGTAAAAGCATGCATGCCCACCACCTTCTCCAAAAAGGAGCAAAAAGAAAAAGAAAGAAGAAAGAAGAGGTATCTGTAATTTAGGAGGACTAGTAAGAGTAAGTAGTATATGATACTCCGAAAGGGGGAAAAAAGAAAAGAAAAGAAAACTATCTGACCGACTGTGTAACCACAAACAAGCTAGGTACGTCTTCTATGGCTGATTAGGCCTGGGAGTAATCTTTATAACAAGGCCAGGAAAAACATCGTCGGGCATGGATATGCGGGTTCTGCTCCACGATGAAAGGTCACCACACTTGTCGCTGATGGTGTGCAAGGTTTCCCCTTCTCCTACGACATATATTTCGTCACAGGCCCTGTTAAGGAGCTGCAGGTTTCCTCTGACCGGCTCGTAGGGGACAGAATCCTCCTTGACCGCGCTCACGAGTATGAGGCCACTATCACCGCTGCACAGAACCAAGAAGCCCCATCAGCTATCATTAACGCAGAACTGGATGTCGGAGATGATGATGCCATGTATACAGTACTGATCAAGTAGTACTGCTACTAGATGATGAGGAGGAGGATTTCGGTTCAGGTTCTAAGCAACTTCGATGAGGAATTTTGTTTTCGTTGGAGTGCGGTATTTATAGTCGTAGCTAGCTTAGCTCGGTGGGAAGGAGTTACTCGAGAGAGTACCAGTGGTGGTGGGAAGGTGAAATGAAGAGGCATTGGACGTATTTAATGGGGAGACTAAATTAAATCAAAATAAATTGGTAGACTAAATTATTTATTGGGCGTCCGTCTTCTTTCGTTTGTTGTTAGCGGTTTCCTTTTCTGTTATCGTAACATTAATTGTTTTCGCTTTTTCCGAACCCAATTTACAGAAATTTGATATGGTCTGCATTGGTGGTGGCAAGTGGCAACGCATCAGCCAGGTCAACGCAAATCTCTACTTTATTATTAGTATTATTTTTTTTCCCTAATTTGGTTACATAATTCTTCAGCAGGTTTGTAGTAATGGCAGAGGACCATTGATGCTAGAAAAGCATTATTATGTTGTCAAGCTGAACTGAACGTACATATTCCAATTGAATAAAAGGGATAATTTCAGAAACCTCCCTGAGGTTACACCTAATCTCTCCTAACAACCCCATATTGATATGGTTTCAAAATTAACACTTAGCTCTCTTGTCAAATCGAGGGACATCAATCAATCAGAGTTTGATGACGAAATTACTCACTATAATAGAAAATTTTTTTCTGAAGCAACTATATAAATGATTCAATTCAACCATGCCTGATTGAATTACCTGCTTCTCTTTTTTTTTTTTTTTTTTATTATTGTTGAGGATTGTACGGCACCCGGGGCGGTTAGTTTCATTTCATTTTCTTGTCAGTAGAAAACGACCCAGGCCTTGCCTTGGGGGCTCTGGAATTCGCCACTTTCCCCGGTTGATGCTTCCAAGTTCCATAGCAACTGCACCAGTACAGTTACGTCTACCATGCAAGCGGAGCAGAGAACAGAGCATAAATAAATTCAGATTATAAATAAAAAAATAAAAAAAAAACCTTTGGGTTTTTGTTTTGCATGGCAGAGAGATCCGTCGTGAGCCCGGAGAAGGGCGGCGAGTGGCGAGGAGGTGGGATTTGAGATATTTCTTGGTGGACTACCAATTCATCCCATAACAGCATCACCAAACAATAATGTGTCTCTTTCATCATCATCTGAGTGGACGCGTGGCCGCTGGGTGACGATCTTTGGTCGTCTTTGAGTCTGATACGGTACCACAGGTAAGCTGGAAATCTAATTAACAGTCACAATAATCCTAGGAACATTGACTAGGAACATGGAATCCCTGAGTCGCATATTCAACAATTGCGCTTCACCTTTTAGATCGCCAGCACAATGATACTACATGTTTGGTTTTCTTAATCATCCAAGTCCAATTTAGCCTCGTTTCTTCGGAGCTGAGGGTTGGATAGTTAAGTCTCCAGATTTGTCTCAAAAATTATCGACTCTTGGGATTAAATCTGAGATTAGATTTTAATTAACTAACTTTAAAAGTCTGAGAAAAAAAAAAGAGTCCAATTTAGCCTTTATTGGTCATCATCCTTTTTTTTAATTAAAATTTTAAATAAATATGCTTAAATCACCGTCGCGGTCAAGACATTATTTTGGAGTTATAAACTATTTATAGAAGTCATCTACTAAACAGATGATAACCAATCTTACGTGTAGCGTATTCGCTCTGCAATAACTATATATTCATACTTCAACCCAAACACGAATTGAGAAAACGACATGCATAATATATACCATGCTATGGGGCGTGGCGGGCATGACACTATAAACTGCAATTTTAGTTCCAACTGACTTTCTCCTTCTTGTTTCAAGTATGTTGCCGTCTAATTCCATTCAATGTCGACTTTATCCTTAGTAGTAGGTAGCGTGGTGGTTTATTTTAGGTAATCCGGATGTGACCACAGATTCCAATATGTTATGGTCAAAATTTTTCATCAAACTTTTAGGATGTTTTTAAGAACCCAATATGGGCCATAAAACTTGCTAATGCTGTTACAGCACTTCTGCCGTGAAATTTGGAACTTCCCCCATTATAAATAAACAATGACTGGGCGAAATCAACTAGCAATAGGGTTTTTGCCACAATCGATGATTCTGATCAGGTCCCCACATCTGTATCGGTGGCGAATTGTTTCATTCTAATTGGTACAATGATCATTCTCCAACTCTACCATGATTTCTCTCAGATTACAGGAAAATTTTCCAAAGAAAAATTGCTATTTTCTCAAATTTTCCATGATTTTTCAGATTAGGTGCGTTTGGATTGCAATTTTCTAAAGAAAAATTGTTACGTTTTCCGTGGACACGTTTTTCAATCATCTTTTTACTTCATATATATCAAATCGTTACAATAATTTTTCTACAAAAAAAGTCCAGAAAAATGCAATCCAAACAAAGTTGTTTTTCTAAACAACTTTTATGTGCAGTAAATAATGAATGTCTTTGGATAGAAGATTATTTGAGATAAAAAATAAATAAATACTGTAACATTTTTTTAAAATTTCTAAACCGATTTTTTTTTTTTGGCGAGTTCCATTACTTTATTTTTGTTTTGAAATAGTTCCACAACCGAAAGTTGAACCTCCCACCACTCTGCCAATTTATCCTATCATCATTGGTGACAGGATTTGACTCATTTTGTTTGCCTAGTTTTTGTGGTTCCCAGCAAGAGCTGAATTGATCTGCTACACAATCCCTTAAACGTGTCAACAAAAAAAAAAAAAAAACTAGAGATGGAGTTCTCTTTACTTCAAGTAACAAGAGGATCTCAAGCTGTGTCTATTGGCTATTTTTTTCGATGCAATAGCTTCCTACACTACACTATGGGAAGGGAGAGCGCCTGAAGAGGTTCTGAGATAATTTGAAGGGAACTGAACCACTATCAAATTAGACGGGTCACACTGTCTAAAATTTTTAAGCAAGCCCGGCCATATTTAATTATAGCAAATTGGTGCCTTCATCAAACCTTAATGCATGGAGACATATATAGTACTAGTCTTACATGAGACAGAAGGTCTTCTACGGCTAAGATTGGAACTTCGTTCCAAAAAAAAAAATTAGTGGGAATATTTGCAAAATGCTACACAAAATAGGAAATTAAACGGGTGAAATAGTCAAGCTGTTAGTTAAAGATCTGTTTTTAATTAGTCATTTCGTTAAAGTAATTAAACAGAATTAGGTACTTAAGTGACATAGATGTATTCTTTTCTTCCTTTTCTTATGTTGGTGGAAAATTGAAGTGAAGTAGCTTTGATTAAATTTTTTTTTCGTTTTTAATTTTTGGAATTTTGGGTATCTCAAGCACAATGAAATTGTGATTATTTGAGACTGACACGTGAGCTAATTAATATTTCGTGTCGAAGTTCATTGCCTCGATTCCGCACTTTATTTTTTTCTATTGAAAAAAGAAGCACATGTAGGCAATGTCCTGTATTATCAGAGACAAGATCGAAACATCAAGTAATCATATAATTTCAAGAAATTAATGAGACTCACAAAAGAAAAAAGAAGGAAGAAGCAAAAACCTGAACGTCTTAGGGGTATCCCTGGAATTTGGCGACTTGCATGAATCAGAGACGAGAGAATAATATGAGGGTTTTTCAGTATTTAACATATACTACTATTTACTATATATAAAACGCCTTGTCTCCCTTAGACCGCAGGATTGAGGATATATCTTCGCAGATTCAAAGCTTCCAATTAAGGCAGAATGTTGAGGACAAGTCCTGGAAAAACATCGTCGGGATCGTAGATATGAGGATTTCGTTCAAGGATGAAGGCGTCGCCGCACTTGACGCTGATGGTATGAAGGGTTTCGCCTTCACCTACCACATATATTTCGTCGCAAGGGCCGGTTGATCATCATTGGCTTGCTTTCGTAGCAAGGCTCATGATCCCTGACAACAAGATCACTAGCACAGCGATTGCAGAAACCCTTGAAGCCATGAACATAGATGATCTGAGTCTACTTTTGGTGTTGCATGAAGAAGAAGAAGAAGAAGCAGCCATTAATTAAGCGGCCAGCATGAATGAAAATCACAGGATATCTGTACGAATTAATGAAGCTTAAATCCTACGAGTTTTGATGTGTCACCTCTAACCGTTTTGATCTACGATAAGTTGGGAAACGTATTTCGTTTTCCATTCTGGAGTAGAAACCAAATAACTGCACAAGGAAATAAGTAGCTGGTGAAATATCTACTGCTGTGCTGTTTAGGGAACTACTACGTTTTTTTTTGTTTCCGTTTCTTGTTTTTGGTTGAACAAATAGGAGCACTACGTTAAAAGTAAATTAACTAAAAGAACGGTGCTGACTAACGAATACTATATACGACCTATACTTAACCAGAAATATACGAAAACACACGTTCAATATATGATTGCAGGTGCATTCATTAATGCGTAGTTTGTGGTAAGTTGGGTCTAATTAAACAGGAACTTTTCAACTAACATTAAAGGCAGGTAAGAAGATTTTCTTGGTTTCCTTTTCCTTTTGTGTTTTCTTCTGTCGAACTTGTGTCTGCGAAAGAGAAGAGGAGATGGGAACTTAATTCGTCGAATCAAGACAGGTATCATGAAGAATAACGTAACAAATTACATCAAAGGAATCCCAATTTCTTAGTTTCCTTCAAAAGAGTACGTAGTCTCTAATTTTTCATTCTTTTCCTTTTGAACGTTTTCTTTTTGCTCTTTATGACTCCAAATTACGTACATAACCACTCTTACCAAAAAGCTGTATCAGACATACAATGTTTTAAAGCTGCTAGCTAGTACCAGAAGAAAATAATACTGGAGATAATCTTCATCATGTGACGTTGCCCAGGCAACAGACTCTATATATTACTCTTTTTTTTCTTTTCTTTTTATTTATTGATAAGGCCTAGGCAACAAACTGTACTGAAATTCTTTTATTTCTAATCCTAGCTAAAAATGTCCCCCCCCACAAATTAATAAACTAAAAAGGCGTACAAAATCAAAGTATGATGTAGACTGAACAGCATAGAATGTTATACAGACTGCACGCGGCAGGATTTCACATTAAAAAAAAGAAGAAGAAGAAGAAGAAGATTTCATCATGCATGGTGACAACTCTACATTTTATCAACCATTAAAAGAATGAAAATGAAGAAGAAAAAAAAAAAGGAATTATGTCCATGGCCAATAGAAAGAGACATTAGACCATCACAAATTAATTACAGTCAATAGCTGAAGGATTCAACTCGCGACGTATCAAACAAAAAAGAAGCTCCGACCAAGTCATGACCGCTCACTGTCACTCTAAAAATCAACGGTGGAGAGGTGACCCAACTTCTGAATTTCCAATTTGACCGAGTCACTCGCAGAAAATTATATATTAACAACAGGGTCGAGCTTGGTTGCGAGATGTCCTCTTAGCAGCAAAAGCACTTGCAAGTGCTTTTCAAGAATTTAATGCGTTTCAGATTCTTATTAGTTTCTGACGGGCGGACATGTTATATTTGAAAGAAAAGGCCAAAAAGGGCGCGAGCACATTCATTTCTAGTTTCCAAAATCTTGACGTGATCCCCAATTTTGATGAAAAACGTCCCTCAATCGTGGAAACCCTAGCCCAATTAATTAGTCGTCCCGCCCGTGTACAAAGATTATCCGGGCTTTAAATTCTGTCTTAGTCAACCATACGCGCTTTTGCCACTAATTAACACATGATACCAAGATGTGGCTGCAATTTGAGCGTAAAGGTTGGATTCGGGAGTATGACCTGGTGTGGTGCAGTCCGTGGGGCGTCGTCAAGCTCCAAATTTGCTTTCTTTCTTCCCCACATTTTTTGTTATTTTTATTTGTGGGGGCAAGTTTTTCCCTCACGTTTGAGTCCATCGTCAAAGGAATGGAAAATGCTACGGTTTGTTTTGGATACGATCCTCACGATTCTAATCCACTTATATCATTGTCACATTATTTAATAGGGTGACAATTTTTGACACGACCTGAAAACACGACACGAGATTGAGGTTTTGGGAATTCTGGTCAGAATCGGGTTGAACTCGAAAAGAAAACATGTCGATTTCGGGTCAACCCGTGGTGACCTGATATGATCCGATATGACCCGTTTACGAATTAAAAATAATTTAATAAACATAAAAATAAGTTTATCTAACTAAACTAAGTTATTCTTTTTTTTCAAAGGCATTAATTACTTAATCCTAAATGAATTTATTTAATCTGTGTGAAGTTGAAATTATTATATTTGGACAAATATTATTTTTTGCTTTTATACTGTTTTAATTTATTTTATATTTTGTTTGGGATAAAACACTTTTACGATGTTTAATTTATTTAGATTTAGTTTGCAATTATTTATTTAAATTTTTATTACTTGATTATGTAATTAGTTTTGTGAGAAATTGATTTTATTAGAAATTACAGTGATAAATTAATAAATTAAAATTAAATTTCGGATCATTTCGACTCGACCCGTCAACCCGAAATCTTCGAGTTCGGTCAACATACCTGACCCGTCACGGTTGACGGATCCGGTTCGGGTCAACAGATTTTCTGGCCCGACCCACCAACCTGATTTGGACCCGATTGCCCACCCTATTATTTAATGATTTAAATTCTTCAAATAATTTAAAATTTGATAATTTTTATTCTATATTCAACAGTGAATTTAATGTCATCTATACGCGTATCCAAAAGGCACCGTAAAAGTCCCCCAAAAGAACATGTAACCATCAAATCAATTACAGACTAACCCATAACAACAAATCCTAAAATGCCATTTCCAATTTCCATAAAGGCGGTTCTCAAAATGCCATTTCATGTTTATTTACTAATTGAATTCGTACCCAAAATGCACCCCAAAAAAATCGTACCCAAGGGCTTTGGACTTTCCAATTCGCGTGCTAAAGTTCAGTTAATTAACGAAAGAAGAATCTGGGGAGTACCTTACTAGTCTCTGTCACGCAATTTTGTCAACCTTTTTAGGTAGGCTCATATGGTAGTATGGTACTCCTGCTATACTACAACACTTCTTGGCATTGCATTTTTGGACGATAGCAGAAAAAGATTCTTCTCTTGCATTCCACTTTGTGAAGGGCAAACTCTATACGTATACCAATTAAAAAAAAAATGATTTATACTACTAGTTTATTAGCCTATATCTAGGTCCTATTAGGCCTGTCATGTAAGTGCGTCTGTATGTATACTTTTTCTCTTTTTTTTTTAGAAGTGTGGAAAGATAGAAAGTTGTTGAAGGTTTTATCAGACAAAAAAAAAAAGTTTTTTAATTTTTTTTGGGGAGAAACTGAAGCTCTTTTTTCTTTTGTTATGAGCGTAAAAAAGGAATTTGATATCACAGAAGAAAGTTAAAATGAAACCCTCTTTTCCCGTCTGTCACAGTTGAGAGATGATGAATGGAGAGATTGGAGTGTCGGACAAAGCAGGCACGGCAGGGTATTGGGATGAATTCTTTCATGGATTATTATTATTAATGATGATGTGGACACCAAACCAAGAAGGAAATAAAAAAGTTTTAGCACTTATTGACCATTTCCAACAAGAATAATCGTACCCTAATTTGCAGCCAGGTCTTTGCAAACTGTAGTAGTTTGATTAACATAGGTACCTTTACTGGGAAAATCTCAAAAGTTGTTTCAAGGTTTCTGACTTGACAAAAGTTTCATGTAAAGAGAGAAATTTATATGTTCTGGGCCTTCTGGTGAAACAAATCAGCGTGTGGTGCGGGCACCTCATATCACACAACATATGTAAAAACTAGTACAATTGACAACTTACAAAAACACAACAAATTTTATCATTTAAGTGAAAATTATGTTCCACAATTAATTTCATTTGCTCAAACTCAAATTACGCCTAATTACACACTGCAATTGCTTCAGGGCGGAGGGTCTATTGCCTTGCGACTATTGAGAGACCTAGGAGAGTTATCACTTATAATTCATTCATTTAGTGAAACTAAACTCAATGCTTTAGAATGCTCTCCAACAGTCATTATAGAAAATTGGCTCAAAATCTGATGATCACATGATGATTCTACCTCTTCCATCTCCTTCCCTTGGCAAATTTCACAATTCCTTCCGAATCCAATGAAGAATTACAAACAAGGGAGAAGCCCCTATAGACAAGTGAGGAAAGGGCGCACACACAACTATTGCAATTGATGGTAAAAGCTAAGCTTCTACATAACCCACCATGGATATGTGAACTCAATTGTCGCTACAAATAGTACGTCAGCTTCACAGTTCACACAATTCCCAACCTTTGCTGTAATCCAAAGGTAAGACCAAATAGCCTCGGGGAATTTAGGGAGGCACAGGCACCACCGAATCAGGCAATGTTGCTTATGTCACCTTCAGGTTGCAGAAGACAAGTGATGCTTTGTTGAAAAGCTTTGCCAGGGAGGAGTCATAAGATTATGAGGCTGTCAAAGGAGGGAAAAGGGGAAACATGCATATGACATTTGGGTGGTGGTCATAGTTTTTCCGAACCTGACTCCAAAGGAGAAACAAAAAAAAAGAAATAGCATCTCTGATACATATTACAACTATTGAGAATAAAAACGAGACGCCAAATGCACATGAACGCCTTGAATTTATTGAATCCTTCTACTCAATTCCGGTAAATGGCAAGGTAGCCCCATGGCTCTAATCCAGTTAAGGCAGCTACTTCCAAAATATCAAAACTCACATTTTTTTTCCTCATCCCTTCTTTCATTCCCTTGTAAATTTTAAAAACAATAAATATTGGAACCACGAAAACAGGCTCCTCAATCAACTTTGCCCCTTATTTATTTTGTCGAAGTTGATTCCGTTGACCATTGCCACACTTTCACTTGACCAGTCCCATCACCAGTGAAAAACAAACCGGGAGGACCAGTCTGAATGGAACGAACCTCCTGTTTCGCAAAGATCTTCCCTCTTTCGCAAAAAACTAAAATATAAAAAGCCATATTACAATAAAAAATCAGAAACCATAATTCAAAAACCAAGAAAAATGGCTGAACTGAGCTTACGATGGTAAATCATAGACGCGGATGCAGTTGTCATTGCATGAGCAGAGCAAAACTGGCTTGCCATCCAAATCATGCATCCCACAGAGGGTGAGCAAACCCTGATTACACATAAACTAATCAAAACCAAAACTGCACAAGCTACTTTTATCTGCATAACAGCACACCAATATTACACCCCACAATACAGATGCAAGAAGACAATTTTCCATTTGTTCAAGGCCACTCACTTGAAATGAATAAAAATTTCACAAAATGCAAATCAACACAAGCCTAAATGTGGAAGATTTTACACATATCTCCAAGAAAATATCATCATTTTATCCCTCAAATTAGAGAGTTTGATACGCAATATCATATGTGACAGCAAGAAACTTTTCATTTCAAGATGACATTCCACTTTACCAATAAAAAACTAGTTTTCGCTACCATGAGGTATTAATGTACACTGAAGGAACTTCAAATGTCCGTGTCCTCAGCTTCAGCCCCTCAACACTCACAATACTACCTTCTCATTAGATTTTTTTTGTTTTGGGGGGGGGGGGGTGTTTGGAACTCTTACATAAGGCTGCAATTAGTTAAAACTCTCACACTTTCTTTGTCACATTGCAAAAGCATTCAAGTTCAGCCCAAACCCAACTTACCAGATAAAATCTAAAACTGGATACCAAACATCCAAACCCAAAGACCTCATTTGAAACCGAACATAGCAAAAATTTCATTCCAAAATTCACGATATTAGACAAAATGGCACACTATAAGTAAAATATGCTAAAAAACCAAGAGAGGTTGAATGTAGAAAAAGTGAATGAAACTCTTGGGAAAGTGTTCAAAGAAGGGCCCAATTTCACTGCCCTCAAGATATGCCAAATGTTTTTGAGACTCCAGCATCTGAGCACATAGGGGCCGATTCATACTGAAAACCTCCTGAAGAACTAATTGGCAGTGATCAGAAACATTCAAGTTCTTCTTTTGTTGTTTGTCCTCTTTTGTTTTCATTTCCTCTTATTTCATACCAAAACATCTACCAGTAGCCATAGCATATAGGGATAACACCAACAACCTTACATTATATTAAGTCATATCAAGCTTTTCTAGCATCAGTAAGTCCTACTTTTCATGTATAAGCACAAAGTAGTCCTCAGCCAAGAACGGTTTGTTTTGTTCCCATTTTAATTTTTCAAATGCCAACACTACTCATAATTTCAAAGTAGATATATTAAGACACTATGTATTATGGATGATAACTATTTTTTTTTTTTACTCCCTCTCTATTGGTATTACATGAGTCCTACCATATTGAGCAAAACTCTTATTAATACTAGTGTCTAGCGAACGCATGCAGTCAAATAGAAACTGTTCGTTTAAACTGGAATATGGATGCTGACAAGTAGGGACTGCAAAAAACCTTTCCACTTGCCAACAACAAAGATTTACAAACAGTTTTGACTTATAGTTTTTTATATTTCCATACACCTTGTAAAGCTCGGATATTGCTAAATGGTTGGATCCAGCTAAAAACATGACTGTTGTCAATTAAATCACAAATGGTTAATGAATAAGTGTGCTCTTAATTGTATTCAAACCATCAAAAACACATCAATAGAGTATTTCATGCCAAACTTCCTGATTCTTCTTGACACACATATTGTACATTAGCTAAGAAAAACACCTATTAATTGAAAAGAAAAAACACACACACAGAGAGAAACAAGCAAGCACAACCCTGCATGCAAGAGGAGTGATATAATAAAGCATACATGTTCCTCATTATGTGTGTATGTCACTTCCAAGCTCCCAAGCTCTGTAGCAGCCCAGACCTACAAGTAAAGGAAATATAAAATAGATGTGAACCCAGCCAACTGATAGTGTACTTCTGTGCACAGAAGTACTAAAATTAGGGTGAAAAACTGAATACCTTTACTGTTTTGTCCAATGAACATGATAATAGAAATTGATCCCAACAAAGAACAGACATCACAACATTAGAATGGTCCGTCAATGTCTGTAGACACTGCAAAGTTTCGAGGCTCCAAACCTGAAAATAGAAGTTGAAATGGCTAAGGTCTTAAACACCATCTGCAAGAAATCCTATGTTATGACAATAAGTCCTTATCTCACTCCAACTGACTTACACGAATAGAATGGTCCATCGAACCAGAATAAAGTCTATTGGCTCCAACAACCAGAGTGACAACAGCAAGATTGTGTCCCTTGAGTGATGCAGCTGGTTCAAAGGAGTTGGTGGCAGTATTAAACTTCCATGCCAATATTGTTCCATCCTGCAAAGGATGTAAGGGTTTTTAAGAAGGTGGTCAACAGGTCAGGGGTAAAAGCACACATCTGATTGAAAGGAGTTACTCTGAGTTTGAGCACATACAAGATAGAGAGAAAAGTGTGGCTACCTCATTAACGGCCTTTGGAGGAGAGAAATAAACAATGTACAAGAAACTACAGTTTAACCAGGTCTTTACCTTTACACAAAGTGTCTTAGTTTTGAATTTTGTCAATTGCTTTTAACTCATCTCACCCTCATCTTCGATTCGAGGAAAAAAAGATACCACCAAAGTACCTGGGCAAGAGCGATACGTACCCCTCCACCTATAGTTGCCCCCTTCTTCCCTTCCTAAATGAACTCTTAATCACAAAGTATTCCGATTCAGGTTCCACATGAAATTCTCACTCCAACCCTTCACTCCCTCAACTACTAGCAACCCAGCCATGTCCAAGGTGGAGAACATAAATCTCATTATAACTGGTCTAAGGGCTCAATTCTTTCTTTTTTGAAGTAAACTCAAATTGACCACCATTTAGTTTACATTCATAGGCCAAAAAGTATTGTATTTGCATGAAAGACTCAATGTTAACTAAACACATAACTAATTCTGATAACTAGGACCCTGTAATTTCTTAGAGAAACAATACAGAAAAATTGAAATATTATCCACTACTTAAATCACCCCCGACTCATCCGGGCTAATTTTGGAGTTCGACCTGAGAAGCCACAAAGTTAAAAAGAGATACAATTGCTCAAAAGAAAAAGGAAAAGAAAAAATTACCTGTACACCTGCAAACAGCAAATCATTTCCCACCACAAGAGCATAGACTTGCCCAACAGGTCCACTTAAACTCAAGTCAGTGGTTGTTTGTGTGTTCCATGCCTGCAATATCACCAGTTGACCTGATAAATACAAAAATTTGACTATGTGCTAATAGAAAGCTCTGGCTCGTGCACTGAACTATAGAAATGAAAAGACTGAGAAAGAAGAAGGTAACTGAACCTCTTACCCTGACGAAGTTTGTAAGACCCACAAAAACCCACGGGCCTTCACTTCTCATGCAGCCTATTTCACCACCCAAGCTAATAACCCCTGTACACTAAGGGAAACGAGGAAAAGCATATGATAACATATGAGTTTTAAAGAATGCCATAGGTTGACAAATAAAAGGGAACTTTTATTGTTAATTGACTTTAAAATAGAGGAACATTCCAAGATCAATCTCTTATAACGACTTTTCCCAGCACATCACGGCTACTTTCTTAAGATTTTGCATTCCTGTACTCTTATCCACACAGCTCAGAAGTATTTACAAAGATTTAAAACCTAACAATAATAACCTCGGCCACATCATTCAACAACACAGATGCAGTTTGGGGAAATTTTTTAATTTTCTTCCCCTCAAAAGCAGGATTGGAAGAAAAGCACAAATTAACAGGGCCTCATTCAGCTTGCCATCTTCCTAGTTAGATCTCTACACTGAAGGATCAGAAAGCAAACATAACCACTGAAACTGCAAGAAGAAATAAAATTGACAACAATCACCTGCCCAGACTGGCAATCCAAACTCTAACAGTCTCATCTTTACTCCCTGTATAAAGCCTGTCAGAGCCAGATGGCAAAGCAATCCCAGTAACAACCTGTTCAAGAAGAAACCTTCAACTCGTACTGGTACTCCATCAATGCAAGAATCAACAAAATTCCATAGCCAAAACCACAATTCTTATAAAAAAAAATTACAAGAGACACAGACCCGAACACTCAAAAACAAACAAATAATCCGATAATCACTAAACAAAACCAGACAAAGCTTCAACTTTATCACGTTTCAAAAAAAAAATAAGACTAAAACTACATTATTAAGAAGCAAGTACATAGGTTAGGATTCCCAATCACCTTTTCGTGTCCTTCGAGCTGTGTTAACAAGGAAAAGCAGTCGCCCGTAGACCAAGAATGCAAATACCTACACTTATCTCCATAGCTACAATTTCCCTGAACCCAAAAATTACAAAGTTTCTCAGTTTTCTTAATAACTCCTCCCTATTCCCGTAACCCTGCTGATGCTGCTGTTGTTGCCTCCCCAAGAATTATTGAAGTTAGGATTCCTCCGCATCCCACGCCAGAATAATTGTCATCAGCCGAGAACCCGTAAGGCCGTTTGGATGTGGCGGCCCCGTTGCCCATTGACGACTGCTGCGGAGGCGGTAATTCTCTGTGTAGGTATGGACATGGAAACCTACTGCACTTTCCTGCCCTCCAATGAAAACAAACTTTTTGCTGTTTGTTATTGGAATTACTCCCAGAAGACGACGCCGTGGCGGCCCCCGGACCTAGCCGTTGAAAGATACGTTTACTTCCGTCAACATCCATTCTTCAAGTCGAATTTACTTAGTACAAATAACTTCGGTATGCACGAGCTGGATGGCTTATGCAGCGTGAAAGATAAATAAGGAATTGAAGGGGTGAAGACAGGGAGTGATAATGGATGTGATCATGAGAATGAAAAAAGTGGGGGAGAGAGGGGACTGGGGGAAACGACGTGAGATGAGATTGAAATTCGGGGTGTGCAAAAGGAGGTTTCAAAATTTTGGTTAGGGTTTTAAATTGTAGGGAAGGGAATGAATTGGGAACCCTAATTTGCAATTTTTGGGTTTTAACTTTTGCAGCGAAGTGCGAGAGGGAGAAAGTCGGGGAGGAGGATGAAGGAGGACTGAAAGAGAGAAGAAGGATCTAAAACTAAATAAAGAAATATGACGCTTAACCTTTTTTTTTTTTTTTATATTTCCAGAAGGTTCGGCTTTATTTGGATAGCGTATTATTTCAAATAATTATTTGAAAAGGGATTAAAACCTAAGCGTCAGATTAACGATTAAATTGGCCAGTATTTTACGCGCCTGCACGAGAGAAGAAATCGGCCCGATAACAAGCAGTCTAAGGACCCATAGAGCAACCCGATCCGCCTGCACTGTCACTTTAAGCGTGCTAGTATGAAAGGAATCAAGGGACAGCTTGCACAATATGCATACATACCTCCTCCCCCGGTTGGCAGTTTTGGTGATAGACCGGTAGATGATGCGGCAGTTTTGATTCGTACTTCTTGTTATCCCCACCACCACCACCTCCTCCTCCCTTCTTTTCGTCCCCTCCCTTTCTGAGGTCATCTTTCTTGTTGCCTTCATCCTTCTTTTGTGACTCGTCCTTCTCTTTTGCTGGTCCAACAGACACTATATCAGTGTGACAGAGCTCCCTTAATTTGGAAACCATTTTGACTGGATCAATGTCACCGACTACAGTCAGTATCTTGTACTTGTTATCTATTGCAACAGATTCAATCCCTGAGAAGATTAGTTTGGACCAAATTAATCCAGTTTTGATGAAATTTGGGGGATGTACTGATGGACCCTTTCATTGAAATTTTTGGAGGGGGGGGGGGGGTATATTGAGGCAGCCTTTACATACCTACGAGGCCAGCCACCTTTTGCATGGCTTCTTGTTTCACTTCGTCATCATAAAATTCCAATTTCAACACCACTTTCTGTCATAAATCCAGGATGAGAAAATCGTCAGAACACACACAAATTAGCTTAAACAATTTATAGAGGGATTCAAGACAACTCGTGAGGCTAAAAGCAAAAAGAAAAAATATATTGGAAAAAGGTAAACAACTTTTTGAGCGTACGCAGGCTTTTGTTGAAGAATCAGAATTTTTTCATGTTAATACTACTATTACCGCTAAACGAAGCACAAGAAAATAATATGCTACCGTACTACTATTGCGATTATAAACGAGTAGTCAAGCTCAACGGGAAACGGATATATGATGAGAGAATTGAGAGAGATGCCTAACCTTCATTTTCTCTTGGGCAAAGCTGGGGAGAGTTGCAGTTGGAGGCTTCAATTAAGCGGGACAGAGGAAGAGAATATTCAGTTTTTGTAGCCCGTGGATAGAGAAATCCAAGGAAAATAAAGGAGAAAAGAAGACGAGAAAGGAAAGGAAAGAAAGAGAGAGACGAGTTTATTTTGGGCTGTGTTTTGTCCCGTTTGATGTCCCATTTATAACACCACGAGTGGAAGAACCGCCGAGGAGTAAAGTCGAGGTGCGGATATTGGTTCAGGATGGATTGTGGCGGAATGCAAACAAATATACATTAGGGGGAAATATGCAAACAAATATACATTAGGGTGATGGATTGTGGACAAATGAAGGATTGTGGACAAATGCAAACAAATATACATTAGGGTGATGGATTGTGGACAAATGATGGATTGTGGCGGAATGCAAACAAATATACATTGTGTTTGCATTGTGTTGCATTCCGTGGCGGAATATTGTGGCGGAAACAAAATCCTGATAATTCAGGATATGGATTGTCCTGAACAATATCCGCACACTTTACTCCTCGTCGGTTCTTTCACTTTTGGGCAATTACCACCAGTGTTTTGAAAATCCGATCGGATTGATCGGTTGAACCACGAATCGGCCATGACATTGGTCCGATTTGACTTTGTCAGAAAATCGATCAAATTCGGTCAAAATCGTTGAACCGGATTGAACAGGTTTTCAAGTTTTCCCTCTTTTTTTTTTTAAGTTTTGCAAAATGCTTTTTTTTTTTTTTTAAAGTTTTCCAAAATGTTTTTATCAAGATTCGAACTCAAGACCTTTGTAATACAAAACCAATGTAATAACCATTGCACCATCACATCTTATTTATTTTTTTTTTGATAACTTATATATATATATATATATAACAAACATCCATATTTTTTTTCATTTTTTTTACAAAATCTCATTCTTTCATGACTCTTTCTTTTTAATTTTCAACATACACACACCACTCTCTCTCTCCCCTCTTTTTTTTGTTACTCCCTTTTAATCAAACCTCTTTAGTTTTAATTTATTGATATTTTCTTCCATCTTTTTAATTTTATCTTTGTCCATTAAATTGAAAAAAGTTTAAAAAGAATTATTTTTCTTTAACCCAAATTATTTAATGCTACAACCACTCACTTTTATCTCATTTTTTGTTTCTTATCAAGGTTGCATTTCTATTTTCGATTCTCTTGACTTCCTTCAAACTCTAAACTTTCTTTTTCAAATTGCAATATCTAAATCCCAAAGACGTAAATTAAAATTTAAGTTCACAATGTCAAATTCTCATAGACTTGAATTTTGTATAATTTCAAAATATTGTGATATTTTTGGGTTGGATTTAAGATTATTTTGGTAGATATAATTAAAATTGAAATGAAATTTATTTGTTTTAACTTATAATTTAAAATTTTTATTTTTTAAAATTCAAGTTTTTCAAAAGTAGTAAACTTTTCATCATATAAAGTTTTAAATTAGTCTATTGCATGTCTTATTTTGTGTATATATATATTTATATAAATTATTTTTAAAAAAATTCATTGAATCGGGATTAAACTTCGACCCTTTCACTTTACCGATTCAATTGACGGTCCGAATTTTAGAACATTGTACCCACGATAATAGTCACGATTGTCTCCCAACGGCGAGGGTTAAGTGCTAACGCTTTATTTTTTTTTTTTTTTTTTGTGTGGTGAGGAAACTGCCAGCGGTGTCAATCAATTGGTATTTCTATCCAAAAGACTTTTTAAAACCAGCCAGGACTTGTTTAGATCAATTGATGATCTTTCTTCTGCTGATATGTTTGAAGTTTGAACACCACGATTTGTCAAAACCAAAATTAGAACCAACTTCGAGAAATTTGAAGATTCGGTTTAGGTTCATCAAAAATCTAAATTGAAATTGGACTTGACGCATTTAGACTGCCTCCAACCATCCCTATCCAACTGTATTGGTACATTAATCCATTTTTCTTTTTTAAGTTCCAATTTCAATGAGAAATTTATGTATATTTCATTTTATTTAAAACGTTCAATAAATGTAAGGTATTTTTTGCATGAGATTTGTATTATTTTTCTTTTCCTCGTCAACTATTAATGCAATAAACGTCTTATTTTTCTTTTACATTTATTTATTCTTTTAGCACTCCCTTATTCTAAATTTATTGTTATATTTTGTTGAAATCAATTTTGGCAACCAAAAGTGATCAAATGTAACGGGAAGCAATCAGAACCATAATTGAGAGCAACCGAAATAAAAAATAAAAAAAAAACTGCAAGTTCTAGAACTGTAATTGTAACAATTCCTATTGAGGCCGGTTCTGGTTTCGCAGTTCCCCCTTCACCCTTTTGATCACCCCTCTCCCTAGCATAGAGTAGGTGATAGATTGAAAGCGACCAAAAAAGCTGTTTTAAAAGGCTTTAAATAAGCCAATAAAAGTCAAGTTGTAAGGGCCAATAGACCTCTTGTATCGCATCGGGGAAAAAAATAGAAAGAATAACAGGGAGACTGATCAAATTCAAATAAGAGAGGGAAAACGTGCTAATGGAACAACATTTAAGGGGTTCTTTCTTCTTCTTTTTTTTTTTTTTTTCCGGAGACAACAACTGTTATATAACCTAATTTATCCTACACTAAAAGGGAGGGGGTGAACCTAAAGAAATCCAGAAGTAATCCGAAGGGGACTGAACCATCAACGGATCGGGTGCACTCCACACCCGCTTGAATTTTTTTAAGCAAGCCACTTTTTAAATGTGGCATTTGGTGGGAGGCACCAAGCCTTAATGGCTAGGTGGTGGCCACCAACCCAAAGGCTGGTAATTTTTTCGATTTTGCCCTATTTTTAACTCTGATAGACTCAGTTCAGGCCTGATCTTGCTTTTGATTATTTATTAAGACAACGGATCGAAGTACTAACGTAAGTTTGGTTTTTTTCACTCAAAAATAAAAACAGCAACCTGTGTCAATCAATTAATATATCAGTCGAAAAGTAAATTTTTAAAGCCATTAGGACTATCTTACGTTATTTGATGATTGGCCAATGGAGATAAGGTATGGTATTTTTTTTTCACTTCTACACTCATCAGCGATTAGGAAATGGTTCTTAAAATTTTTGTAATTGTTAGATTCAGAGTTAGAATCCTAAGCCTGATAATTGGAGATAGATCGGGTGTTGAGAGGGTGGAAATGAAGATTAAAAACCACTGGGTACTGTAGGTAGCAGTCATAGCCAATGCAATTTTCTGCGTGCCCACTTTCACATAGCTCGACGTGCTTGCATTAGAACGAGATCAAATTTGAGAGCCACTTCAAAGCCCACTTTCATATGCCTTGGAATGTTGTTATTTCAACTTGAAATTTATTTCTGATTACATTTTATTTTTTTAGTGTATCTCAAAATTAAAGATATGCTTTTTTCAAAGAAAAAAGTCATTAATTGTTTTCTTGATAAAGTTTTGACTTTTTAAAACACTTAATTAAAGAAACGTCCTTGATACTTTATGATCATGTTCCAGACTATGAGGGACCTCACACCTTGCTTCCTCTGATGTCTTAGAAATTTGCTCTGAAAACTGGGAGATGTTTTTCTTGGATCCAAAAATATGATAAGAGAACCCATTTTATCTGTTTCTTTACGTTTATAAACGACAAGCGGACTCCCACTTATCACAACTGACTATACCCGCAAATACAAGATCAAGAAAACAAATTGAATAGCACATACACTTCGATTATGCCCGTGCTGATTCCGGTCATTCCAGAGCAAAAGGATAAAGAGGATAATTCAATTTCTGCTCTCAGAAGAAGACTTAAGAATCAAAAAACCAGATCCATAGTCAAGATCAAAAGTTCGACCATTCTTTTTTCCCTGCAGAAGAAAAACTGGACCCTGTCGCCCTTGCAGTGTCAGACTCAGCTATCTAATACTAGTTGATGGCAATAAAACACAGATAATGTGGGAGTTAAGGAAACTACAGATCAAAAGTATACTGTCCAAACTAGTAATCTCGTATAGGCCACCGAATTCTCATTTCTTATCTGAGATTCAGGAAACCACTTCCCCAGCTTCTTGAGGTGGAAGTAAATCAACTACTTTGTCAGATAATTTCGTGTCATCAACATACTGTAACCAACAATGGCAAACGGTTGGTTTTCACATTCGCTAAGCACTTGACTGAATGAAGCCTTACAATTGATGTCATTCCGTGTAGGAATGCTTTCATTCCACCCAAGATGCAGATTGAAATTACCAACTAATTCTGCAGATTAAAACCATTATAATCATTTTTTGGTTCAATTACACACAACTTGTCAATATCAGTAAGCAAGACGTCCCAATTGTCACTGGCAGCAATGAGAGCTGCCAGAGAAGTTTACACTAAATATCCAATGCTGCATAAAAAATTTGTTTAATCCCAGATAATAGTTTACTCCTAGCATTTCATAGCAGAGAAAACATTAGAAGCAGAATCTTGACAAACATGCGAGACCATTTCCTTGCTACAACCATATATCTAGTTTGAAGGCCAAACATGACCTAAAGACCAACTTTTCTGACATCACACAGCAACCAAACTGCAGAGCATTTCGTATATTAATTCATGATGTTCCTCCACTACAGGACCTGTCATAACTATCTTAGGGACTTGAATCAGTAGTGCGGGATGAGCAGTGCAGCAGGTAATAACTACAGTTAAGGAGATTGTAGGAGAAAGGTACAAGGGTTCAGAGAATATCATTCAGAATACCACAATTTGATTTTACTACTGATATGGAAAAGAGTTTTCAGATGTAGGAGTTTTGGTGTGTGAAGAGAAAAATAGAAGATATTTACAATGAATCGCTTCTTTCTCAACCTAACCCTCCCCCCCCCCCTCCCCAAAAAGAAAGGGAAAAAAACCACATCTAGAGTGCCCGTCTGCTGAACACCATTTTTATATAATCTGCATAGCAAGGAGACCCAAAAGTAGATGAGACTCAACACCATGGAAAGCACAGGACAAAAGAAGAGCAATCGCATTGATCAAAAGAGATTGATAATAGAATCTGTGAATGAAAGAATCTTTTCATCCATCATGGGAGACACAGCAAAAGAGGGAAATAAGGAAAAAATAAAAATAAAAATAAAAACTTTGTTAATGGAAGACATTCAAGAAAGCAACTGCAATAAATGATATGCTTCATACAAGTGGTAATGTTTGTGACATAATGAGTTTCAATTGGACAGAGATCTAACTCGCAAGTTTAAAAGCATCAATGAAGAGCCCATACGTGAATCCCATCTTGAAATTGTTCAGAAGTGCAATAGGGAATGTCACCTTAGGTCGGCTGTAATAAAATTTAGTGACATACTCTGTGAGCAGAACACATACCACAGCAGCAATTACATCATTAACTCCTAAAGCTCCAAAAGAGAGGGAAATTGTCTGTGCAACATAAAAACCACCCAAAAAGATATACCTCCAAAAAGTGCTCGCCGAGAAGGGCTTCTGAAGTAATTCCTAGATACTTCTGGTAGAACTCGAATGATGTCAACCAGCCTTCTTGGCCCTTCATTGTCTTGCAGTGCTCGAATCCTGAATAATCCTGGAGATATTCTTGAAATGAATCTTCTCCTCCACCAAAATTACTAGTGCAGGAAACTAGACCACATCCGGGCAGGCCTCCAGAAGTGAAAATCAGACAGTCTACCATTAACATGTTTAATCAGTATATACGAGTCAGTGGTTCATCATCACATTCCTGGTTATAAAATTAAAGGATATCGTTAGCTCTCTAATGCTGTAAGTACTTCCTTTGACTAAGGCAAAAATACTCACAAATAAAACCAACGAAATTACATCACAAGGAGTGCATCCAAACTCAAGTAAACATGGTTAGAATAATTATGACAAAATTTATCACTTTTAACCTCCACAAATACGATGTATATCAAGTATGTTATATCACAAATACGATGTATATCAAGCATGTTATTAGAATGGTAAAATCCTTGAATATGTTCACACAGAGTCACGACTGGATATCTCATTTTTCAGATACTAAACACTGCACCCTAATGGTCAGTGAACAAAGGAAGCCAGAAGCAACAATTTATTGAGATATTCTTAAACCCCCATAGGCAACCTTCCAGCAGAATACAAGTAACCCACCATAATGGGATCAATACAAACTAATTACAAGCTATCAAGAGATTAACGCTAAAACTAAACTAGCCCACAAATTGAGGGATGAAAAACTAACATAAAGTTAGACAAAGCTCACATTTAGTGAGGCTTGAAATCAGGCCTCTAGGTCCTGGTCATCGGCATTATAGCACTATACTGGAAGCCACATATTTGCTCCACGACTAGAACCAAATTCCACTACAAAAGACGAAATAGAAATGCCCTGTCGAGCAAGATTAACCAGTTTACAGAATCACACATTAACATCCAACTGTACAGTGATGCAAATCATGTGTCTGTGATTGAGATTGTGCTTGTGAGGACTATAATAGCTGCCGGGAAAGGAGTAGTGAAATTACCTCTGATGGGGCATGCTATGGAGAAGTTGCCGAGTTGTTTGAGTTTCTTTGATTGACGGACGGACAGCAGTGGGTTCAGTTTCCAGTGGTTCGATTTGAAAAAAAATGGTATTGCCACAGAATTTTTCTGTACTGCCGGATCAGGTACATTGCGTTGTGTTGCAATTTGGTCCCTCTAATTTTCACTCGGTCCATGTTTTATCCCCAGAAAAGCATTGGCTCAAATTTATCCTAAAATTCAACTATACAGCTTTGAATGCGCAACCCTTTCCTTTTACTTTTCCCTATTTTCACACGGGATCCTTAACGCCACTTTTTCGGTGATAATTCAGTATCATTTCTATATTTATGCTAAGTGTTCTGTTTATTTAATTTATCATGTGTTATTTATTTAAATTTCTTCTATCGTCACGTGATAAGTGGGATTGACATCAAGTAGTAACATAGAGGATAGAGGATCCTAACTACCCTATTTTAATCTTTTCCCCACTTCTTTCGAAAAAGAAAAAAAGAGAAGGTGAGGGAGAGGGTAAAGAATCTCTCCTCCACTCCTTTACCCTGATGCCTTTAGAAGCCCAACTCAACGGAAGGGAAAGGAGGAGTTTCAAGATTTTGAAAATTGCTTAAGCTCCCTTCCGGGACACAAATTTTACTAATGTTATTCTTAAAACGCTTAGAATTTGTCACTCAAAAGTTTTACATTGGACACATACTTTAGAATCGTGGATAGCTTATCAAAGGATATTCGTCAGTTTTCTTAATTGTTTTTATTTGAGAGAAATAAATCAAAAGTTGAATTCTTGACTCTAAACCTTATACAAGTCCTATTTAAGTAACCCAGTTCAACACTTAAATCTAATGAATTTAGATTTTAATATGTTCAAACGTGTTTGATAATAAAAAATATAACGTCTTAATTAATTAAATGATTCAAAATTATTTAGACAAAATTTGTTCAAAATAATAAGTGATAAATTGTTCACTTACTTAACATAGAATATGCTCAAATGTTAATATTTCAATGCTTAACAATCAATAATTTAACATTTTAGATTTCATATTTCAATTTTATCCAACACACCTTTAGTTCACTAATAAATTTAGTTCTAATTAAAACAGCTTACCTTATACTACAATATAATTTTGAAAAGTGGCTAAAGAAGAGTGCTTGAAAGTCTTATTTATTATTAGATTCAAAATTTAAATCTTACATTTGAGAGTTAAAAGTGGAAAGACTATAGAGAGGAGTAGGAGGGAATATATATATATATATATTCTTTTTTTTTAAATGAACAATATATGTCCCTCAAATGTAACTAAATAGATCTGAATAGTTAATCCTGCGGTAGCCCAATCCATTATCACAAAAATAGTTGAGTACAACCAACCGTAAATATGTACGGTCCAAATCTTGAGAAATTAATATAAATACAGTTAATCTTGCCGTAGCCCTCGAGCATGTTGAATACAACATTTTGAGATGTTACGCAGGGAAAAAAAAAAAAGAGAAAGAAGGAGAGAAAGGCTAACAACCGGCGCAGGAAAAGATGAACAATGAGATGGAGAGAAGCATAGGGGAAAAAAGAAAAGGTAAAAAAGGAAAGATTCTTTTTTTTTTTGGTTAAAAAGAAAAGTTTTTACACAACTCAAAAAGCTTTCTTACAAATTATACAGTAAAAATTTAATTAAATATTTAAAAAAATCCATTTGTCAAACGGAGCCTTAGTCTAATTTCACGATTTATGAAATATATACATTTTCAAACATACATTTCAAGTTTGAGAAGAAATAGAATCTAGTTTTCATATTAATTTCAACACATCCAAACATTTTTCTTATAAGGATCATCAACCAAAACGATAAAAGTTATCTTACTCCCCGTTTGATGCCCAAAATGGAAAGTTCTTCCACCTACAAGGCCTTTTCTGATTATAATATTTTATTATTTTTAAAATGTGAATATTCATTTTGAATTTTTTGTTCAAAGTAGCCGTACAATTAATAGTTTACAAAAAAAAAAAAGAGTAAATCACATGAAGTTAAACATTCGTATTCTCTCTTTTTATTATTTTTTCATTATTTATGTCAAGTGCCAAAAAAATCTTTATATATTTGCATAGAAGTTTAAAAGAATAATATCTTAAAATTAGTAATAAAAATTTTAAAAATAGCTAAAATAGTTTGTTAAAAGAATTATGATCGATTATTGATTAAACTAATAAAAGGCCTACTAATTGGTAATAGCACAAAGAGATGTATAAGGATAAACTTGACCCCAATCATTTTGGATATTTTAGGATAAATGTAGAGAGAACTTTACTTAGAATTTTGTGAGGAATGAGTTTCTAATTAAAAAGCTGGGATGAGTTTTGTAGGAGTAAAAGCCTCTCCAATTCAAAAGGTTTATATCAGACATAAGAATGGAATGAAGAAATCGAAAACATCTTTTCATTTTAAGGAATTCCTGCACTGCATGCCTAAGGGGGAGTTCATGAATACACCGAACAGGCTAGCAAAATGGACGGGAATAATATATTGAAGCAAAGCGTCAAACACGAATCAAATTTGAGCAAGGGACCAAACAAAACCAAGTTTAGAGCCACACCACATTAGGATACAACTTAGCTTTCAGCTGGTTGCCAACCCATTATAATCGTCTTATCCAAAATAGTTACATCCAGATAATTGAGGAAAATAAAATTAGAACTCTTCATTGTTGTACTAATAATTATTATTATTAACTTCCACTAGCAAATTCTTAAAAATCAATCATAATTATGTGGTATAAATCCAACCACTTTTTATTTTATATATCGCATCAAAAAATTATTATAGGAAATTTTTCAAAAAATTATATAACTTTGTTGTCAAATGTGGGAAAACAAAATTTTATTTTGCATGGAAGGTGGAAAGCGAAAGAAAACAGAACGAACAGTCGATAAAAAGTTAAGAGCACAGGCACAGCACAAAGACAGATAGAGGCCCGGCTCACTCCATCGGGCACTTGGGAGGGACGAATCCGAGCTCCAGCACTACGCAACACCTTTTGTACTGCTGTGCTGTCAGCTGTGGTTCATCTCTCTCATTGTCACCTCTCTTCCTCTCCTTTCCATCTCTCTCTCTCTCCCCTCTCTTCAGGTTTGCCCTTCCATTCATTTTAGGAGTCAATGTTTTCAGTAAATATTAGTTATTTTGTGTGTTTGCTAATAAATTGTTGATCCGGGCTTGTGCCTTTATTGTTCAAATTCAATTGGGTTCATGTTAAATTTGCTACAATGGTCGTAAATGAGTGGGTTTTAAATACATAGTAAAGGTGATAGGGTTTTGAATTCTGTTATTTAGAGGCCTATTTCAGAAAAAGGTTTAAGCAAATTTGTGAAAAGTTGTCTTGATTGGGATTGGTTTTTCGTTTGTTATTCAAGTATGCCAGAGCCTGGAGTAGGAGCTTGATCTTTACTGTAAATAGCGATCATTTGTTAAGGGAGGATACCTTTCTGGGTTTTATTTATTCTTGCCACAGTCCCGCTTCTTTAATTTTTTTTTCCCTCTTTGGGTCAATGAAATGACTATTGAGTTTGAACTTGGAATTTTGAATTTTCTAGTCATAGTGACTTCTAATTTAGATTTTCGTGCTTTTTTGAACTTGGAAATTTGAATTTTCTAGTCATAGTGACTTCTAATTTAGATTTTCGTGCTTTTCGTGGCTTATCAGATTCAGTTGATTGGAGAGGGATTGATGAAAGTAAAAGCTTCAGTCTGTTGTTCTACGATTGTTCTTCGGATATTTCTTGTGCCTAGCGGAAATACTTTTCAAGCTCCACCTACTGGATACGGGAAACTTCCTTCAGCAGTTTGACTTGAGTATGGTTTTGTATACTGTTATCTCAGGAAGATTCAAGTATTTTGACTTGTAAAGTTTGCATTCCCACTTGTTGTAAGGTAGAGAACATTACAGAATTTCAGAAATTTGAGCTTCGAGGAGTACAAAACGGAGACTTGATTGGTGGTATATTTTGATCTTCTTGGTGGCGGCCAAGGATTCGTATGGCTGTTGCCAAGTGCAATGGCATTACTGAAAATTCTCCTTTCCTATTTAAATGTTACAGAGTTGGAAGCTTGACAGAAACCATTTTGGACACGCAGCAAACTTCAAACTTGAAAGATCGATATGTTCTTGGAGGGCAGTTAGGCTGGGGACAGTTTGGCATAATCAGGGAGTGTTCTGATAAGTTGACTGGGGAGTTACTGGCTTGCAAATCAATTGCCAAAGATAGATTGGTCACCCACGAAGATGTGCGAAGCATCAAGCTTGAAATTGAAATTATGACTAGGCTGTCCGGACACCCTAATGTTGTGGATCTGAAGGCTGCTTACGAGGATGAAAATTATGTTCATTTGGTCATGGAGCTTTGTGCTGGAGGTGAGCTTTTCAATCAGTTAGAGAAGCACGGGAAATTCTCTGAGGCAGAGGCCAAAGTTATTTTCAGGCATCTGATGGAAGTGGTGATGTACTGTCATGACAAGGGAGTGGTTCATAGAGATTTGAAGCCAGAAAATATCCTCCTAGCCACAAAAGCCCTTTCATCTCCTATAAAATTGGCTGATTTTGGTCTTGCAACCTACATAAAACAAGGTCAGTCTTAAGTTCTTCCTGAGGATCTTGCTCGTTGCCCATAAGAATAATCATTATTTAATCTTCACAGCATGTTAATTATGTCAAAACAGGGCAGAGTTTGCACGGAACTGTTGGTAGTCCATTCTATATAGCTCCTGAGGTCCTAATAGGTGGCTATGATCAGGCAGCTGATGTCTGGAGTGCTGGGGTTATTCTTTACATCCTTCTAAGTGGGATACCGCCATTCTGGGGAAAGACTAAATCGCGTATATTTGATGCCGTTAGGATGGCTGACTTACAATTTCCATCAAATCCTTGGGACTACATATCTTACACTGCCCAGGAATTGGTCATGGGAATGCTATGTAAAGACCCTTCTCAGAGGCTTTCAGCTCAGCAAGTCCTAGGTGCGTTGCCTGTTTGAGAATGTATGACTGCCTTAAGACATTCTCCGTGTGATAAGAATTTACCATTCTGATAACATTTGCTATAACTTACAAGTTATCTTAGAATCAAAGCGTCAAAATAATGGTAAATTTTCTTATGATTCTCTGCCAACAATTGAAAACAGTCTAGAATTCTGCTTAAAATGAAATAACATCATAAATGTGTTTAAGGTGGAGTGCTTGAAAGTGACATGTTGGGGTTTAGGGAGCTTGATTCTGAAAGTTAAAAGTAAACACAAAACTGACTGTGGCATGAAGGTCGGTTGGAGTCAATGTGTTAGACAGGTTTATTGATCTTCTAGGATCCTCTTGTTCTATAGCTGTTGCTTGAACATGTAGCTCTTTCGTACAATGTAACAATTTATCGTTTTTCACCATCAGAAAGCAAATATGCGCGCCTGATTTGACTTAGATATTCTTGTTGTAAAAGAAGGGAGCACGGCGTTTTCTTCTTTCCATATCCAGCTCCACTGCAGTTAAGATTGTCAGTGGCTTTCAGAAATTTGTATCAGATTTGGACAGTACGACAACATTTTTCCTGAGCAATGACTTTCGAATTCTTGGCCTTAAATAGGCTCCATTTAGTTAATATCTTTAACCCACCATGTATAGATGATCTTGAGTTTCTTCATATTTTTTTTGTTATGCCTTCGCTTAAACAAGGTACTTCTTTTCTAAATCATAGTCACCATTTCTAGATCATACCTGGTTGATGGACTCCTCACCACTTTCTGAACAACCGTATGAATGTCTCAAGCAGAGCTACGGTGATGGTGATTTACAGAGAGATCCTTTCTCTTCTTCGCTTATGGCCCGGAATCAGGATATTAGTTTCAGAACAGGGTTGTCTATAAGTAGTGACGTGCAATCGCCTACATTCACTTGCAGGTCATCACTTTCTTCCTTCCTGGTCACACCATCAACACCTTACTACAAGGCTATTGGATTCTCTTTCCAAAGTAGCGGTGGATCAAACTCGGTGGATTTTCCTATTGCTGTAGTTTCTATGCCGAGTTTTGCATTCAACAGCCCTGATCGTGTGGCTGGGCAAGGAAATCCTGAATTGGATCTTTCAGTGGACCTCGCTAGAGTGGATTCACTTCATCAAGGTACTATAGTAGTTTATAAAACCTGTCATATCTATAGTAGAACCCTTAATTGAAAAATTCCCTCTTCATACAGATGCGAGTTTGAGAGCACTGCTTAAGTTGCCAGATCCTTCACTGTGCTATGGGCATGCGGATTGTAAGGTGGCAGACCCTACTAGGGGTGGGTCAATTGGATCTAAGATGTCAGGCATCCACAACAGGAGGAACAATACAATTAGTCTTGGTGAACTAGAGCAGCTTGACCTTATTGTGACCGAGTCAGTTATTCGATGGGCTTCTTGTGCGCATCTTCCTACTGCCATGTCACTCAGGTCTTCTCTTGTATGTTAACAGCTTGGAGCAGCTGAGGATCAGCCTGCAGTTGATGATGGGTTTTTTGTGTTGTTTTGTTGGGGGGGGGGGGTGGGATGTTGAGGAGAAAAAAGAGAGAGAGACAAAGAAGCATTCGTGTTGTAAATACTAATACACCACGTGATTCTGATTCTGGTTTGAGATGGTCCACAAGTTTGCACGAGCTTTCCTAACTCATAAAATAGTCAGTACACAAGTTTGTATGAAACTGAGCGTTGCGCTTGCTGTTAATTGTACGAGTATTTATTTCCACTGCTTGTATTTCTTCCTGCCTCCCTCATGTGTAGTATTTGTTAATTTGGGTGTCATAATGTGTTGTGTTGCCCTGTCTTCTTCAGTTCAGTTTAGGGTGTTTGGGAAAGAAGCTAGTAGTGAAATCCCGCTCCAAGAAGGATCCTCATTCCTCATTGGTAGATGGATCAACCCTAGTGAGAGCCAGTCAAGATGGTCCATGAATAAGACAGCAAACTGTCTGTCTCGATGCTGAAAATAATTCGTCACCGACATATCATCATTTGATCCTCAATCATCGTGGGGTGACTCGTGAATGCACCAACAGTCCTCCAGTCTTACCATCATCGACAAGGGCAAGGGGACTGTATGTATGCTCTTGGGTGAAGATTTTGTGCATGCATAATTAGATTGGTTGAATTGGTGAAAAGTTGGTGCGCTCTGCAAATTCTCGATATATTGGTTTGGTATATAGTTTCAGTAGTGATCCAATCCAAGGGGAATCTTGAATGATTGGGGGAGACATCTTGATCTGGTCCCATCATCATATGAGTTGGTGTTGGAATCTAGATTGATTGCACCGGCGCATGTCGGATGCTTTCATAAGCGTAACCCACATGCGTAATAAGCACCAAAGCTGAGATCCATACTTGACATCACACACACCCGTGTAAGTTGGTATAACTAGGAGGGCTGCCTACTGGTGCCGGACCAGTGGTCAAGTGGGATTTCTTCAGAATACTGAAGTGCTCGTAGGGTCAGAGAATAGAGATTTGAGACATGAAAGCTCCTGTGCCTTCTTCTTCCTCTGATCCTCTCCCATACCCTGGATCTAATATCAGTCTCGCACTCTTTCTCCCTGGAAAAAGACAATATACAAGCCATCCACCATGAGAAAGAAGACTCTTTCTTGCCCACTAGAAAACCAGCACTAGGTCCATTCTAGGAGGAGACAGAGCAGAAAACTATGATGGAAAAAACCCGCAATGTCGTTAAATAAATGATTTCGACCAGAAAGCGTAGGCAGCAACGAGAAATTCCTGATTTGCTTACGCTGGACAGGACAGGTACAAGAAGCAATGAGATTCCCAGTTGCTTGCTCTCTGTTGAAGGAGCAAGGACTAATTGAAGTTTCAAGCATTGGGGTCGGGCCGGTGTCGCGACGTAGAATTGAAGGGTTCAGAATTTCTTGTTCTTTTCCTGAAAACTGGAATCTGAGCGGTTGATTTTCACCTCAAATAAACAAGAAGGTCCCACTCCTGCCTTTGCCGTTTCTTTGGGGCGGAAGCGGAAAGATAAGATCTCCTCCCAAGTCAGTGGACTAGAATCAGCCTCGTGCATTGCTGGTGTCCTTGCGCTTCCATCAAGTCCTCGGCCCCAGAATTGTTTCTTAATTTTCTGGAATCATATCATTTTAAAATAAAAAAAGAAGGAAGAAGACGAAAATAAGCTTTACACATGAACTCCCTTTCCGCTCTGTAGAGTAATTTCTTCATCTCCATCACCATCCGCTCTATAGAGCTCAACAATCTACCAGGGTTCAAACAAATGGAGTGTCAAATTCACTCCTCAGGTCCTCAACTTACATGCAGAACTTCCCCACGACATAAGCCTAATTATTCAAGTTCATCCTTAGTTCTACCAAAATCTAGAATACGCAAGACAACTGTGGTCGCCTCCCAAAAGAACCTGGATAGACAACAACCAATTCCTGCCCCCCAGCTGACTGAATCAAAATTACCAAGAAGGGACGTGTATAACATCAAATTCGAGACGCTGGCATCTTGCAAACTCGGTATCTCCGTATATCCCGACTTCGAGTACAACGCGAGGAGGGCAGCGGTAGTGGGATGGGCACAAATAGAAATACCGACTCCAATGAATCCGATGGAGACATTTTTGTTGACTTCGACTTGAATACCCTCTATATTCCACCACTCACAACTGCAACAACTAGATTCATGGGACTGCCATTGCCACCTTTTCTCAGGATTGATATTGCTCCAGAGATATTACGGGGAAGCATCAATCAAGAAACGGGCAAGGTAGTCTTCTATGACCCTCGGCTTCTATTGCTTTCCTTTTTTGTATTATAATTCGGTAGTTTCTGAGAATTACTTGGTGCTGTTCTTGTGAAGGCGGAGCTTGAGTTCAAAGCTAGCTTCTGGTTTTCAGTTGGGAAGCTTTATAAAGCTCCACCTTTGCTGGTAGGGACCTGTTAACATCTGAAGATCAGAAGGAACAATCAGAAGTGGAAGAGGTGAGCGCTTAAACGGAGGAGGAAGATGCCGGCTAGTTGGAGTGGCCATGGTTCAACCGATTGACGACTTCTTTATGAATTCATTCCTTGGCCCCGACTGAATGCTTTGCCGAGTTGAACGCTATCATCTCAGTTTCCACTAAATAAACAATAATCAACACAAATAAGGCTCTCCACCTATTCGCCTAAGATCAAAACATTATTGTAGCTTTGCCGGAGAAACAATGCAGGATGACTTGCAGAAAGGTTTTTGTTTTTGTTTTGGCCCAATTTTAGAATGGTCGCAGCTGTGTCGAGCAAAGTATTCAGACTTGATCTGAAGTGATAAAATATTCATATTTCAATTGCCCACCAACGAAATTCATGGGCATTAGCTATACCGTTTATGTAGGCATCAAAATCCTCTTGTCATCCAAATCTCCAAACAGCTATTATAAATAAAGCAAGATTGTGAATATTAGCTGTCCAATATCGAAAGCAGTAATTAGACGTAATTGTGCACAGAACTGACAAGTTGCCGGGGAAAAAAAATCCATATATCATTACTGCATCGAGCATGGAATGAATTCTATATTGACTGTGCTTGTGAATTTTATTTCACATAGCTATTCTAATCTTTAACTCATCCTCTGCTTGATAAGATGCAACCAATGGTTAAAGATAGCAGAACAAATTCCCATTAACCAAAGCAATTAAGTCTTTTAGAAGAGAGTGCTTTTTTTTTTTTTTTTTTTTAAAGTAATGCAAGTGGAAAGGCTTGAACCCGAAACTTCTCACTTACATTCTCGTCCTTTAAATCACACCCCCCCCCCCAAAACCAAAAAACCAAACCCCCAGAAGAGTGTGCTTGTTAAAGCCTAGAGGAAAAAGAATATATTTTTGAAGGTTCTTCCAAAGACTCACATAATCACGGGCTCTGCAGTTTGAGATGGCAAGGGTTTGATTATTGCTATTTCACTATCATTCAAATGCAAGTCTCTGGGTGCCAACAAGAGAAGCATATTGGCCTCTCCTACTTAACAGCTCCGAATGCGTCCCTAACTCCGCAATCTTCCCATTAGAACAGAGGGCAATTTGGTTTGCATTCTGAACTGTGCTCAACCTGTGAGCAATAACCAGCGTTGTTCTTCCCTTCATCAGACGGTTCAGAGCACTCTGGACGAGGCGCTCACTAACTGTGTCTAAAGCACTAGTAGCCTGCAGTGCATAAGCATAAACTGATTTATTCAGCACAAGGTAGAGTTAATAGTTCAGAGTAAAACTGTCTATCTTTAAATCTGAAATGCAGCTGATAATGCAATGTATCTAACAATCCAGGCCAAGTTACTTCCCAATCAAAATGAAAGAGCCCTTTACCATTCTGAGCAATAGCAAACCAATGGATAAGGTTCTTTTGACTGCGAGGCCCTGGGAATCCTAGCATATGGTTTCTCAAATATACAAAAATTGAGTCTTCCTGCATATTAAGCCCCTGAGATCCCAAGTTATGGTGGATCAACTTTCTCTTTCGGGCATACAGACCCTTAGATGTCCCAATATTAGTTTGTTAACTGGCCTTGGGGGATGAGTATCTGTTTTCTATACCTTAAGTAAAACACAACACACAATGCATTAGGATTGGCCTAGAAGCATACCTCATCAAGGATAAGGACTGGGGCATTCTTAAGGAGAGCCCTTGCAATGGCAATTCTCTGCAAATTTGGTGAGGGGTATTCAGTAAAACAACTCTCAAACCATAAGCATACACCAAACCATCTTTTAATTACCTGCCTCTGCCCTCCACTTAGCAGACCCCCTCGCTCACCAACTAGAGTGTCGTAACCCTGTCCATTGCATCAATATTTAATACCTAAACAAACTGTGCAAAATTATACAGATAACAAGCATATTCGAAATGACAACCTGTGGCAATGAAATTATAAAATCATGAGCATTTGCAGCTTTGGCTGCCTTTATCACATCATCCTTTGATACATAATCATCTGGGAGGCCATAAGCAATATTATCACCAACAGACACGGAAAAAAGGACAGGCTCCTGTAGAAAATTGGGTACAAAAATATAACAAGAGATAACTGCAGATGGGTTTTATTGTGTTGTTTTTGGTGGGGCGGGGGGGGGGTGTGGGGGGAGGAGAAAAAAGAGAGAGAGACGAAGAAGCATTCGTGTTGTAAATACTAATACACCACGTGATTCTGATTCTGGTTTGAGATGGTCTACGAGTTTGCACGAGCTTTCCTAACTCATAAAATAGTCAGTACACAAGTTTGTATGAAACTGAGCGTTGCGCTTGCTGTTAATTGTACGAGTATTTATTTCCACTGCTTGTATTTCTTCCTGCCTCCCTCATGTGTAGTATTTGTTAATTTGGGCGTCATAATGTGTTGTGTTGCCCTGCCTTCTTCAGTTCAGTTTAGGGTGTTTGGGAAAGAAGCTAGTAGTGAAATCCCGCTCCAAGAAGGATCCTCATTCCTCATTGGTAGATGGATCGACCCTAGCGAGAGCCAGTCAAGATGGTCCATGAATAAGACAGCAAACTGTCTGTCTCGATGCCGAAAATGGCAGTCGTTTTAATCAAATTCAGTCACCGACATAACATCTCATTTGATCCTCAATCATCGTGGGGTGACTCGTGAATGCACCAACAGTCCTCCAGTCTTACCATCATCGACAAGGGCAAGGGGACTGTATGTATGCACTTGGGTGAAGATTTTGTGTGTGCATAATTAAATTGGTTGAATTGGTGGTGCGCTCTGAAAATTCTCGATATATTGGTTTGGTATAGTTTCAGTAGTGATCCAATCCAAGGGGAATCTTGAATGATTGGGGGAGACATCTTGATCTGGTCCCATCATATCATATGAGTTGGTGTTGTTGGAATCTAGGATTGATTGCACCAGCGCATGTCGGATGCTTTCATAAGTGCAACCCACATACGTAATAAGCACTAAAGCTGAGATCCATAATTGACATCACACCCGTGTAAGTTGGTATAACTAATGAGGGCTGCCTACTGGTGCCGGACCAGTGAGTCAAGTGGGATTTCTTCAGAATACTGAAGTGCTCGTAGGGTCAGAGAATAGAGATTTGAGACATGAAAGCTCCTGTGCCTTCTTCTTCCTCTGATCCTCTCCCATACCCTGGATCTAATATCAGTCTCGCACTCTTTCGCCCTAGAAAAAGACAATATACAAGCCATCCACCATCCACTACAAAACCAGTACTGGGTCCATTCTGGGAGACAGAGCAAGAAAACTATGATGGAAAAAACCCGCAATGTCGTTAAATAAATGATTTCGACCAGAAAGCGTAGGCAGCAACGAGAAATTCCTGATTTGCTTACGCTGGACAGGACAGGTACAAGCAGCAATGAGACATTCCTCATTTGCTTGCTCTCTGTTATGTACTATCTGTTGAAGGAGCAAGGACTAATTGAAGTTTCAAGCATTCACGGGGCCGGTGTCGCGACGTAGAATTAAAGGGTTCAGAATTTCTTGTTCTTTTCCTGAAAACTGGAATCTGAGCGGTTGATTTTCACCTCAAATAAACAAGAAGGTCCCACTCCTGCCTTTGCCGTTTCTTTGGGGCGGAAGCGGAAAGATAAGATCTCCTCCCAAGTCAGTGGACTAGAATCAGCCTCGTGCATTGCTGGTGTCCTTGCGCTTCCATCAAGTCCTCGGCCCCAGAATTGTTTCTTAATTTTCTGGAATCATATCATTTATAAAAAAAAAAGGAAGAAGAAGAAAATAAGCTTTACACATGAACTCCCTTTCCGCTCTGTAGAGTAATTTCTTCATCGCCATCACCATCCGCTCTATAGAGCTCAACAATCTACCAGGGTTCAAACAAATGGAGTGTCAAATTCACCCCTCAGGTCCTCAACTTACATGCAGAACTTCCCCACGACATAAGCCTAATTATTCAAGTTCATCCTTAGTTCTACCAAAATCTAGAATACACAAGACAACTGTGGTCGCCTCCCAAAAGAACCTAGATAGACAACAACCAATTCCTGCCCCCCAGCTCACTGAATCAAAAGTACCAAGAAGGGACGTGTATAACATCAAATTTGAGACGCTGGCATCTTGCAAACTCGGTATCTCCGTATATCCCGACTTCGAGTACAACGCGGAGCGGGGCAGCGGTAGTGGGATGGGCACAAATAGAAATACCGACTCCAATGAATCCGATGGAGACATTTTTGTTGACTTCGACTTGAATACCCTCTATATTCCACCACTCACAACTGCAACAACTAGATTCATGGGACTGCCATTGCCACCTTTTCTCAGGATTGATATTGCTCCAGAGATATTACGGGGAAGCATCAATCAAGAAACGGGCAAGGTAGTCTTCTATGACCCTCTGCTTCTATTGCTTTCCTTTTTTGTATTATAATTCGGTAGTTTCCTGAGAATTACTTGGTGCTGTTCTTCTGAAGGTGGAGCTTGAGTTCAAAGCTAGCTTCTGGTTTTCAGTTGGGAAGCTTTATAGAGCTCCACCTTTGCTGGTAGGGACTGTGTTAACATCTGAAGAGTCAGAAGGAACAATCAGAAGTGGAAGAGGTGAGCGCTTAAACGGAGGAGGAAGATGCCGGCTAGTTGGAGTGGCCATGGTTCAACCGATTGACGACTTCTTTATGAATTCATTCCTTGGCCTTCCGACTGAATGCTTTGCCGAGTTGAACGCTATCATCTCAGTTTCCACTAAATAAACAATAATCAACACAAATAAGGCTCTCCACCTATTCGCCTAAGATCAAAACATTATTGTAGCTTTGCCGGAGAAACAATGCAGGATGACTTGCAGAAAGGTTTTTGTTTTTGTTTTGGCCCAATTTTAGAATGGTCGCAGCTGTGTCGAGCAAAGTATTCAGACTTGATCTGAAGTGATAAAATATTCATATTTCAATTGCCCACCAACCAAATTCATGGGCATTAGCTATACTCGTTTATGTAGGCATCAAAATCCTCTTGTCATCCAAAATCTCCAAACAGCTATTATAAATAAAGCAAGATTGTGAATATTAGCTGTCCAATATCGAAAGTAGTAATTAGACGTAATTGTGCACAGAACTGACAAGTTGCCGCCGGGAAAAAAAATCCATATATCATTACTGCATCGAGCATGGAATGAATTCTATATTGACCGTGCTTGTGAATTTTATTTCACATAGCTATTCTAATCTTTAACTCATCCTCTGCTTGATAAGATGCAACCAATGGTTAAAGATAGCAGAACAAATTCCCATTAACCAAAGCAATTAAGTGCTTTTAGAAGAGAGTGCTTTTTTTTTTTTATATTTAAAGTAATGCAAGTGGAAAGGCTTGAACCCGGAACTTCTCACTTACATTCTCATCCTTTAAATCACACAACCCCCCCAACCAAAAAACCAAAACCCCCAGAAGAGTGTGCTTGTTAAAGCCTAAAGGAAAAAGAATATATTTTTGAAGGTTCTTCCAAAGACTCACATAATCACGGGCTCTGCAGTTTGAGATGGCAAGGGTTTGATTCTTGCTATTTCACTATCATTCAAATGCAAGTCTCTGGGTGCCAACAAGAGAAGCATATTGGCCTCTCCTACTTAACAGCTCCGAATGCGTCCCTAACTCCGCAATCTTCCCATTAGAACAGAGGGCAATTTGGTTTGCATTCTGAACTGTGCTCAACCTGTGAGCAATAACCAGCGTTGTTCTTCCCTTCATCAGACGGTTCAGAGCACTCTGGACGAGGCGCTCACTAACTGTGTCTAAAGCACTAGTAGCCTGCAGTGCATAAGCATAAACTGATTTATTCAGCACAAGGTAGAGTTAATAGTTCAGAGTAAAACTGTCTATCTTTAAAGCTGAAAGCAGCTGATAATGCAATGTATCTAACAATCCAGGCCAAGTTACTTCCCAATCAAAATGAAAGAGCCCTTTACCATTCTGAGCAATAGCAAACCAATGGATAAGGTTCTTTTGACTGTGAGGCCCTGGGAATCCTAGCATATGGTTTCTCAAATATACAAAAATTGAGTCTGCTCCTGCATATTAAGCCCCTGAGATCCCAAGTTATGGTGGATCAACTTTCTCTTTTGGGCATACAGACCCTTAGACGTCCCAATATTAGTTTGTTAACTGGCCTTGGGGGATGAGTATCTGTTTTCTATACCTTAAGTAAAACACAACACACAATGCATTAGGGATTGGCCTAGAAGCATACCTCATCAAGGATAAGGACTGGGGCATTCTTAAGGAGAGCCCTTGCAATGGCAATTCTCTGCAAATTTGGTGAGGGGTATTCAGTAAAACAACTCTCAAACCATAAGCATACACCAAACCATCTTTTAATTACCTGCCTCTGCCCTCCACTTAGCAGACCCCCACGCTCACCAACTAGAGTGTCGTAACCCTGTCCATTGCATGAATATTTAATACCTAAACAAACTGTGCAAAATTATATAGATAACAAGCATATTCGAAATGACAACCTGTGGCAATGAAATTATAAAATCATGAGCATTTGCAGCTTTGGCTGCCTTTATCACATCATCCTTTGATACATAATCATCTGGGAGGCCATAAGCAATATTTTCACCAACAGACACGGAAAAAAGGACAGGCTCCTGTAGAAAATTGGGTACAAAAATATAACAAGAGATAACTGCATAAGTACGAAATGCTTATGAGTCCGAGTTAGATGTAACATTCAATCTGATTCAACTTATCGCAAGAACCAATCAAAAGTTATCGCTAAAATGTCACCAACCTGTTTTTGGACCCAAACCTTTATGACATTAATTAAGGGTTAAACAAGAGCATGACAATTCAATGACCCACTTGGACCTCTCAAGAGTCATAAGTTGCTGCTATCAAGGGTCACTGTACCAATAATGCTCTATGCTGATTAAACAGAAAATTAGACATAAAAAAGTTGATTCCCAAAAATTAGAAACATACTTGATTTACAATGGAGATAACTCGAGCCCATTCTCTTTTATCAAATGTCCTCAAATCCTCTCCAGCAACAGTTATGCGGCCTCTGCTTGGCTGCAAAATCCAGATATTTGTTTTATCAAATTCTTAATTCAATGATCTGTCACAGGGAACTTACTACCATAAGTACATGAAACATTGAACAGCAGACCTCATAGAAACGTGCCAATAATTGTACTATTGTACTTTTCCCTGCGCCACTCGAGCCCACTAGTGCAGTAACAGTTCCATGTCTTAAACAAAGATTAAGACCATTTAGGACTTCAACATCAGGCCTTAATGGATATGAGAAATGCACATCTGTTGCAAAGCACAATATAAGAATGACCAGTTGTATGAACATTGGTATAAATTCTCAGTTATATGAACATTGGCATGATTTCTGAGTGATACAACTCCTAAATTATGTATCTTTAACCGCAGGAAGAGGTTTGTGATAACTAACGTTTCCAAAAGCAGATGAAAAATGGGCAGAAGAAAACTAGAAGTCAGGTATGCACAATATACTTAGTATGTTAAACTCAGTTTAACAAGAAAGAAAATTTTTTTAAAAAAATTCGGTTTCATCTTACCAGTAAATCACAACACTAAGCGCAGTCATGAAATTCGCTTATTTATTGAGAATGAGAATTGACCCTAACACCTGATTCCGGAAGTGATAATCATCAATAAAGACTTCACTCCTTTAGCATGAAACATATCTACCCTTGCATGCAGAAGGCTAGATACCATACAGCACATACCTTCAAGACAAATATCACCAGACCCTGCAAGGCTGCGGACGCTGCTAGCTGATTTCAAAGAGGTTGTGTATGGCATATCTAAAGATTGTGTTTGACTTTCAAAACCATTTACTAAGAAAATACCAAATTCTTTATCAGGCATCTTCATTAGCTTGATGTCTTTATTTAAACCATAGGCAAGGGCCTCGTCAATTTCAGCACCAGATAAAACTGAGTTGATCCTATCTGTAGCAGCGAAGGCTCCACGCAGATCTCCAAACGTGTTCACTAGCCCTTGAACCTTAAAGAACAAAACATTAAATATCTTATCAAGTGTCTTTAACATCAGAAAAGACGTGGATAAAGAGTACTTACAGCGAAAGTCAAGATGAAAGTGTATCCAATGAAAGAAGCCACAGTCCCCACAGTCATTTTGCCCTAATAGAAAGCAGACATTTTTGAATGCTCAGCTCCTAAGAAAAATGAAATCACTAAATACGCTACAGAATGTCAGACATGGCCACAATCCACATTGCAAACTTTTACGTTTAGAGACCATTGCACAGAGCATATGTACATCTACACTTTCAGGTTATGGACATAAATTCAAACATAAAGATACTTCCACTGACATACATATTGAGAGTACAAAAGCTCAAAATGCTTACAGCTTTTACTTTGCTTCCTCCGAGACAATATAAGGTTACCAAAGAGACATAAACTGCAATTCTAGTCAGTGATTCGTTAATGGATTTAAAAGTCCCAAGCTTTATGCCACTACTCTCATACTCAAGAACCTGCACAACTAGAAACATATGTTACGTCCATAGAGGGCCAGGTAACATCAGCAGAACAGAATTTCTTGGATATAAGATGGAAAACATGACCCAATACAATGAAAAAAAAATAACCTGGCGCCCAAAAAAGGACATTTGACGTTTTTCCCCACCAAATGACCTTACCTGTAAAACCCAAATGCAAACATGCGTTCAATGAAAGAATCATTTGAAAACTGTGACCTACCCAGTCTAAATTTCATAAAACAGAAGAAGAAAGTTAAAAGCAAAATCAATGTGAGGCATGAGAAAATATTGTGCAAATATCATGTGCTCTTAAAAAAGATAGGACAGATAATGATGTAGTGATCCAAATATGGTTTGTAAGCTTCTAAAACCAGTGACTGACTCATGAATGCTTCAGAAGGGGATACACAAGTACAAAATCTGCAACAGTCTGAATATAATTTCAGAAAGCTATATGCCAACTTACAGTACGAATAGCTGAAAATGTTTCAGTCACACAATCAGCTATAGATGCTTGAGCCAAAGCATGAGCTTTGAAAACATTGACAGTTGTCCTCTTGTACACAGCTAAAAGACAATAACAGCATCTTACAGGCCAGCAAACATGAAAAGAATATTACTGTCAAGAACTTCTAACAAGTTTCCTCTTTCTTTGGAGATGAAATATAGCATGTCAGGGACCATTTCTAGACTGGATTAACATGCAAACTTATTATCATGTATGGATAAAAGTAAATTGTCATCTATTCACCATACACTCATGTTAATGGCAAACCATCATGAACTGCTTCAGTTATAAGATTTGTCGAGTGCTGCCACCCAGAATATGTTTGCAATAAACCATAAATGTTGTTTATGTTAATTTCTGCTCCAAACAAAAACTAATGTAAAGAGAATCTAGAAGCCTAAGGATCAAGGAATTTTAAGGAAGACAAAAATCAACAACTGCACAAGATTTTCAGAAAAACAACTATGCAGAAGCAACCACTACTTTATATAAGTTTTACCAATGAAAGTAGAAACAAAAATGATTAGAAAGCCAAGGATTGGTGCAAGTTGAGGAGACAGAGCAAACAGTAGGCAGATGGTTCCAGCAACCTGCAAAGAAAAGAGAAAGGTCCAGATACATAAACGATTGCTAAGAAAACTCCGGAAGCAGAAGGAAACTCAGCCTTTTCCAGCTAACAAAAGTACCCTTACCCAAAAAAAACATGTTATAATAAACATCAAGAACTAAAAGACTTTTTTCTCTGTTACACAAGAAAGTAAATAAAACATAACTAAAGCAGATCTCTTCAGGAACAAACTAGCGGAACTATGCAAATAGAAATAATATAAAGCTCACATTTACATAATGTAGAGTAGCTTGCCTCAGATAGGGCTCTTAAACCACGATCTCTTGATACATTTTCACTTACGATATTCTTTAGTGAACCCAAATCGGATGTCAGCAAAGAAGTTAGTTCACCCACCTACAGGTCTCAAAAAGAGAATTATGAATTAGAAAACTGGCAGACCAGGATGTATAAAGACCGATGAAATAGCAGTTACCACAGAATGAAAAGAAGGCTATTGAGCTAGATTACATGCAATTGCCACAGGTGGAAAAATTAACTTGATATAAAAACATGATGAAATTGAGAAAACAAAACACACTTCTCGACGGGATGAATGCCTAAAATTTTGGTTAAGGCAAAAGGTAATATTTGCCAGCCAAAAATGACAGTTTCAGAGGATTTCATTTGCTTACCTTGTAATGGTCAAAAAACTCCACCTGGAAATGAAGAGAAATTGAAATTGTCAATAAAAGATTAACTAATCTATAATAATGGTCTTGCTCAAGATTTCGTATTTTACCTTCAGTAATAAATGTTGCTTTGTTTTTTGTTTAAAAAGAATATAAAGGCTATTAAACATAATCAAAGTTTCTGGAACAGAAGAAGGCCATCAGACTACCATGCGAATTGTAATCTAAGTCTTGAATACTGCGTAACTGCTTGAATGCTGCGTAACTGACAAACCAACATTCAGGAACTATTATTTTCCGTTTAACATCACGCATAATTCGTTGAGTGCATGACAATATACAATTAAGCTTAAGATGATGTTGGCAGTACTCCAAAACATAGATAAGTAAGACCATGAATTTACCTTCTGAATCAGTACTCGCTGAAATATCTGAGCTCTTAAGCTAGACATAACCTTCTCCCACACGGAATTCATGTTTACAATGAAAATAACCGAGAAAATTGGCTCTAGTGTGTACAGAATTCCAACTTTGCTAAGCAGCTGCCACAGAGGCTCTTGTCTCCTTCCGACAAGCACTTCGAAAAATCTTCCTGGAACAAGACTCTCATTTCTTATATAATAATCGTTGATCAACATTATTGTGCTCAGAATTCTTGTATGATTCAAACTGAAACTCTTTACCGAGATTGATAATGGATTAATGGTATGCCAGTATGTGGGAATCAAGAAATACTACCTCTCGAGATTGAAGAATAGAATTTCTTGTGAGCAAGTCCACTTATCAGAGTTGGTCCCATTCATTTCTTAAAAGTTGCAAGCTACTAATCATAAATGAAAGGAAGTTAATTAGATAAAGCCCCGACTACAACTAGCTGTGTTATCCTGGGCATGGCTGAATTCAAGAGCATGATCAGGGAAGAAACTAAACTGGGTTTACCTAAGTAGTACAGCCTAAATTAAAATGACAATTGCCACACCATCATCATGTAAAAGTGACAGTAGTATGTTGGGAAATTAAAGATTGAGTGAGGTGAGGAATGAAGAGAATAATCATAGGTAGCATACCGGAATATATGGGCATAGCGAGAGTGCAAGTGGTGCAACCAACAAGAGCAAGAAGGGAAGCCGCCAACCTCAGCTTATGCCGGGAAACCAATCTCCAAAGCAGGCCCCAGCTGACGAGATAGGCCGGCTGAGCTGGCTCCGAAGCCTCCTCCTCTTCCACCTTAAATTCGCTGTTCTCGGAAGACACGGAAGCCGGGCCGGAAACGTATGCCGAAGTGATTACCGACTTTAAAAATTGTCGGCCCGATAAGCTTCTTCCTGATTGTTGACGCCAACAAGAAAGTGATGACGAGGATAACGGTGATACAGATAGCTTTTCCCCGAGAACATGACAATCACTACCACTAGTTAATGCTCGTAGCCTTCGTCTGGGGATGTTTTTGTTGTAATTTGCGGCAGTCATGAGGTGGATTAAGGGAGAAGCAGCAGCCGGAATTGCCATGATCGATCTTTTACCTTCCGCTTCCCTTTCTTTCGGTATAGTTTGTATGTGTGGACTGTGGAGTCGCAAGAAGACCCAAGGGTCAGTGGTTACGGTTACCGTTACCGTTACAGCCTTAGTCCAGAGTATTTTAATCAGGCAGTAAATTGTTATCGCGGGGGTTTTTTTTTTGTTTGCGTGGTGTCAAAATTTTATTTTGTTCAAAAAGGAAATTACTATTTAGATTAGGGTCGACAAAAAGTCGTTCCACGTTAGAACCCAGTTTAATATTTTGTTTTAAGTTTTTTTTTGGTGGTTTAGTGAAATATTTGCAAGCAAGTCCAAGCCCACTTTTAACCCCACACCGTATTTTTACTAGGCCTGTCAATCGGGCCTAATGAGCCGGGCTTTGATGAGTTCAAGTTCAGCTCATTTAATTTGAAACATTTTTGGGTTTCGGACTATGAGTTTCGGATTCGTAAATGTGAAACTCATACTCAACTCACATAATATTCGGGTTGTGAGCCTTAATCGGGCTTAGCCCAAACTCACTTATTACTCCTTAATTTTCTTAATATAATTACTATAACTATTAAGTTGTAAAACTAAGTTAACATTTACAAGACTATAATATTAAAACTAAACATGAACAAATAATAGTTCTTAAAAAGTATATAAACCAAAAATTTTTTCAACAATATTTATATTTAATCCATTTAAAATGCATGAAAAATAGTAATAAAACATGCGATCATAAGCCAATACATCTTTAAAAGTTGAAACTTTTTTTTATAATATTGTGATTTAAATCCAAATATGCTTGATGATTTTTGTGTTTGTAGACCAAAAAAAATCAACCAATAATATGCCAATACCAAAATTTACTCAACCAATAAGAAAAATTAGAGATTTAGTTATGCATTACTAATATTGGCTCTCAAGAAATCTCATGAAAGAATCTTTAGATGTATTTTTGTGTTTTGTAATTTATATATATATTTAGTATTTAGTAAAAATATATTTGGATATATAAATATACATAATATCAAAATATAAATATTATATATATAGGTAATTAAAGGCCCGGGCCTATATCGGATTTGAGCCTAATAAGGCCCAAGCTCGGCTCACATTTAATTCGGACCTAATTTTTAGGCTCAAACTCAAACCGGCTCACTAAATGATCGGGCTCATCGGGTTTTCTGTCGGGCCGAATGAGCCGAGCTCGGGCTGGCCCAACCCCATTGACAGTCCTAATTTTTACTTTATATTTTAAAAAGAGAATATGGCTACTTTTATGTATCACATTGTGAAGTTTCATTTCTTATTTTTTCTATTTGTGTTTGAATACCCTGTTAATCCTTAGTTACATGATAAATATGTTTCATAATTATTTTTTATTTTACATATATTAGATTATAAAAATATTATTATAATGTATTATTTTTAAAAAAAAATACTCTATTTGAACACACTCGAACGTAAACCTTAAATTTTTTTTAACATGTTTATTCTTTGACGTCTATAGCATTTTAATTGTGCATTCAAAGAATTTCCTACACACTAGCAATACTTGAATGTAACACATTGGTACTTATTTGTGGGAAATTTTGCATAAACAATGTACATGTAAGTGCATTACTAAAACAATTATGAAATTGGATGAGCATCCACTTTAATTTGAAGTCAAAGGTGCTTAAATTTTGGGTCACGATATTTAAAAAAGAATCATTTGAAGAGTCACCGAATATGTTTTTTATATCTCATTAAAAGTACCCATAATAATAGAATTAATAGTAACATATTACAATGAAAGGACTAAACACCAAAATCGATGGTATAAATAATAACAAAAAAAAAATTGACTAAAATTAAGATTTGCAAGTGAAAACTGAATTCTGGAGTCTGGCATTTGAATTCATTAAATCAACTAAATGTTAAGTATTTAATTTGATGTATTTGAGTATATATTACATTAAATGATACTAAATCAATAGTTTATCGTTTAATTTTTTTTTGAGTAAATTTTACCTAAAAAATTCAATGTCACTTAATCAATTTAAATGTTTTGTTTTGATTATTTGAACGTATCTAAATATGATAAGATTTGAATCCGTTAAATTTATGGATCGTGATGAATTATCAAACAAGGCCTAGCCTCAACCTTGGTGGAATAAATTACTTGATACAAGTAATATGGGTGGTTTGTTATTGTGTATTGAGTACACATGAGTTTTTCCAAAAAAAAAAAAAAAAAAAAACACGTGAGTGGTTTCTCTAAGTTGGTGGGTTAGTGGTGGTTATTTACTCACTGGTCAAGCTAAAAAGAACGGAAAACCGAAATCCACAATCATTGGCTGGGGAGGTTATTAAATGAGTAGAGGAGGGTGACATGTGGTTTGATTCTTACCGAGCTTGGCTTCAAGATCAATGGCGCCATATTACCACCACTACTTACTGGCGAAGGGGAGTCCACGTGTCGACTGGTGACCCGGCCCGTGTAGTGCTCCTCACGAGATTCTGGTCTACCCTCCCTGTTTTTAGTTAAGAAGCTATTGCTCCATCCCATCTCTCGCAGTAGTCCGCCCCAAGTTCGATTGCACTTTTAACTGATTTGATTTGATTGAATCATTCATCAGAACCTCAAGAAACTCCAACCCTTTTGTGGTGTTCCCTGTTGCTTTGATTCGATGGGCTAGTACAATCATCATCGTCTAATAATAAGTTGGCATACATCTTTGGCTGGAGCTGCTGCTGCTGCTGCTGCTGCTTATTCATTCGTTCGTCCAATCAATCAATCAATCCAATAGAATCCCACATGCAAATCTTCCACTCCCGAGTCCCATCCATTCATCTGTGGAATTCTCTTTTCCTGCTTCGCTTTTGACTTTCTAGTGAGTCACTATATATCTTCCCGGACCAGTCGCCAGTCAGAGGCGATGATGGCATCGATACGATGTCGTCGCTTGCCTGTCTTATTATTTTTGTCTTTTTCCTCCATTCTTGGAGTTACCGACGCTAGCGCCGGGGATGCTGATCCGATTTACGGGTATAATTCTCAGCTAACCTTTTTTTTCGTCTCTATACTGCTCCCCCAATCTTTTCCTTCAACTAAATCACATATTCCCTCCCCCCCCCCCCAACTCTGTGTTTCTCAAGGTTCAAATTTGGTTTAGATATCAGTTATTTGGCATGAGCTTGGAAGTTTGCTTAGAAATGATTCGTGCTTTTGTTTTTGCATTCTTCTTGGTTAAATTTTTGTTGGAAAGAGTTTGTCTGCCTCGAGAGGCATAGAAATTTCTGGGCAAACTGAGCTCAAGAAGTAGCTCTTGTTGCCATAAGTTCTACGATTTATATACTCTGGAATTCTATCTGGTTTCTCTGGAAGATGTGATTTCTGCCTCCAGTGAGTGACCCAGAAAAGTTGGGCTCTCAGTCTTTGTTCTGACCCATGAAATCTCTCAGGTCTGTAATTAGCTGTTAGGGTTGGACTCAGAAATTTGGGATTGTACAACTCCAAACTACATAAATACCAGCTCCAATTCTGATGGAGAAGCAAACATAGCCTAAGATGAATGTTCAGTTGCTTTCAACAGTTGAAATCTTTTGGCTGATTTGTTATACTTTGTTGTGGATGATCGATTTACATGGCTAGACTTTCCCGGTTTGCACATTTTATGAAATAATTTGAGGGTACAGTGGAGCTGGAATATGTTTTGCTATGACGAGCTATATTAAGATTGGATTAGGTGGTAGTGTATATTTTGGGAAGGAGTCTTGCAGAGTTGATAATCATAGTAAAATTTTGGTTTCAGAGTTTCATTTGAAGCTGTAGACCCTGAAATTGTTGTTGGTTTGTTCGTTGATGTATTCTTGTATGCCACTTCATTCTCTTTCAGCTCATATTTTCTGACGATATGCTGCCCTGAAATTTTCTTGGTCATAGAAAAGTAGATGAATGCCTGATAATGCAGGGACATCCTTTCATACAGCTCCAACTTCCTGAGTTAAGCACGGATATGTTGTCCCAATCACTATAAAATTGTGTAACTGCATCTGGACCCTTGATTGATATAAAATCTTTCTGTTTCTATTTTACTCATTTTTAGCTCAATATTATTCAGTAAATGAGCTAGGGAGAATACTGAAACGGGTCAATAAAATGTGTTTGGCAAAACTCTGGGTATAAAACTTAGATTTGAAATGGAAGTCATGTAAAAAGGAGTATTTATCTTCAATTAAATTGGTTAAATGATGTTGATACGCTTTGTTGTACGCAAAGATTGAAGTGTTGGGTCTACTGATAGTTGGATATAACGTTTTGGGCTGGCCTCTATAAAATTGAGAATTCATTTGTACATTTATTTTCTCACACTAATTATTGTCTTCTTGGAACTTATGCAATTTGGCACACTCAATTTGCTGCCCTGCCAGAGCTTGTGTTGAACAATGTGAGAAGACTGGATGCGTGGGTGGAAAATGCTTTCAGCACTGTAATTTTTCCAATGGTAACTCCATTGATGGTCCATGGTATCTCCAGGAGCCACTTTATTTAAGGTGGAAAAGATGGGACTGCCAAAGCGACTGCAGATACCAATGTATGCTTGCCAGAGAAGAAGAAAGGAAAGAGCTTGGTTACAAGCCCGTGAAATATCATGGGAAATGGCCTTTCCGTCGTGTGTACGGAATCCAGGTTTGTAACTGATATTCCAAGGAAACTAATTTTCATTGTTGATCAAAAGCTAGTAATCATTCCTTGTATTGGTTTTTGCTTAATGCTTTGTGCATCTCAAATCATGATCTTCTATTTCTCAGGAACCTGTTTCTGTGGCATTATCTGTCCTTAATCTTGCAATACAGTTCCATGGCTGGGTTTCATTTTTCATCCTTGTAAATTACAAGCTACCTTTTAGCCCAAGCAAAAAGACATACTATGAGTACACTGGCTTGTGGCATATCTACGCAATGTTGGCAATGAACTCCTGGTTCTGGAATGCTGTTTTTCACAGTCGGTGAGCATTGTCTCTCTTTTGCTTCGTTCTGTGATGTGAGATGTGCTAATTTCAGATGATTTGGTATTGTATATGGTGGAT